CTGCAAGGAAGTTCTTTGTGACAGCAGCAGTGAGTGGGAACTGGTTGAGAGCATCTGGCCCTTTGAGGGAGTGTTTTCCTTCCCATGTGAGGCCCTATGTGCCCAGGACCTAGTTAGCCCTGTCCTCTTCCCTTCCACCCACAGCCCCTTGCAGACTGTACCCTCCAGCTCCTCTGGGAGCTGCCTGGGACAGGAGGTGCACCCTGAATGCCAAAAGGTGGGCTTAGCTAGGGGGTCAGCTAGGGCAGGGGAAGAGAGAGGGACTGGAGCACGGCTGAGGCAGGGGCTCTGTGTGAAGGGATTTCCTTCTTTCCTCTAGACAGGCAGCTGTGGGAGGTGTACAGGGGAGCGTTGTGGTGGGCCCCTTGGCTTGGTTGGGTTAGAACTGTGGGTGTGGACTTTGGAGTGGCTCACACAAGAATGCAAATTTTCTACACACTGGCCCGGTGACCTTGGGTAAGTCATTGGTAAAACCTTAGTGGTTTAAGGAATGCATGTGACATACTCAGCATGCACTGGCACCCAGGAAGTGCTGTGTCATCAGGGGATGGCCATGGGGCCAGTGGCTTTGTACCAGCCTGGGTAAGTCCACAGCCATTCAACTCATCCCAGCAGGGAAAGGGCTGTAGGGAGCCCTTCCCCTCCCCTTGGCCAGTCCTCAGTGGCACTTTAGTGGCCATGTCCTTGCTGAATAATGCCTCCTTCATCCTGGATGAGGTGCAGGTGGGGGTGGCAGTTAAGGAGCCCCAGCCTCCCAGGCTCATGTTTTCAGCCTGACTTACTGAGTAGACCTGCCTTGGTGGGGATGAGGTTGGATGGGGTGAGTGGGTAGGGGTGCATAATTATCTGGAGGTGAGCTCGGCTGTGGACACATGAGCACACACACTCACACACGCACACTCATGCACTACACCCTCTCACGCACACTCACACACTCATGCACTACACCCTCTCACACACACAAGCACACACACTCACACACTCTCTCTCACACACACACACACACACACTCCAGCTACAGCTGTCCATGGGCTAGGGCCCTGCCTCTGGTTCCTTGCCCCTAGCCAGGTGGTCATTATTAGTTTCCTTCTCAGTCTGCTGTATTTTAAGCTTCTAGAGGACAGCAACATGTTTGTTTTGTTTTTACAACTTTATATCCTCATTGCTCAGTAGAGTGGCCCCAAATGAATGAGTGAAATGAATGAATAACTGGACACTAGGCAATGTCAGAACAGGGTGCATGGACAGTGCACACTGAGTCTCAACTGGCCATCAAGTGGGCTGAGGTGGGCATCCCCAGGCAAGCATGCTAGGGTCCTGTGTACTGCCGCATCCATGCCTTCCACCTGAGGCTGCACGTTGGCAGGGCGCCTTGTGTCGTGGCCTTCTTGATGTGGCAGCCCCACTTTCCTGAGGCCAGGGATCCCTGGTGTGCTGTGCGCTGTGTCAGGTGCTGCTAGCGGGGAGCTCCCTGTGCTCAGTGCTGGTGCTCATTCTTGGGAGCACCCCTCTGTCCTGGTCCTGGCCCCAGCACCCAGTTTCTGTTCTGGGGTGGCTCATCCTCATCAGAAAGGGAGCTCCTTGGAGGCCTGCTGGTGCCTGGCTGGTATAGAGTGGGTGCTCAGTACATGCCTGCCACCTGAGTGGTCCCCTTGCCCGACGGGTCTGGCTGTCTTGCCTTGGGAAGCTGGCTGGGGACAGCGTTCCCATCCTGGCCTGCCCACCAGGCTGCGCCAGGGCTGAACACCTCCCAGCTGTCACAGCCCAGTTGTGAGAAAGAGCTGAACCCCTGGGAGAGCTACGGTCTGTAGTTGGTCAGGGGCTGGAATTCCCCCAAAGAGGGGCTCCTGTGGCCACGCTGTGGTCTTGCCTGGGGCAGGGTGACCGGGAGGCCAGAGCACCCATACCTGTGAACCTGCGCTGAGAAGTGAACCTCAGACGGGGTCAGGTCACCACTCTGGGACCAGCATCGCCCCCAGTGGCAGCCTCCTCCCAGATGGCAGTGCCAGGAGGGGGCCATCTGGGCAGCAGGCTTGCACAGACCACGTCTCTCCAGTGTGGACTCGGGCTGGGAATCTCAGCATCTCGGGCCTGTCTCCTCATCTGTCAGATGGGGGTGCTTACAGACAATGGAACATTATTTAGCCATAGACAGAGATGCAATACCAACACGTTACAATGTGGATAAACCTGGAAAACATGATGTTAAGTGACAGAGGTCAGACCCAAAGCTCTGGATAGGCGAAGTAATCAGAACAGGCAACCCCATAGCGACAGGAAGCAGAAGGTGGTTTCCAGGGGCTGGGGGAGGAGGGAAAGGAGAGCAACCACTGAGTGGATATGGGTTTCCTTTTGGGGTGATAAAAATGTTTTGGAACTAGACAGAGGTGGAGGTTCCACAACACTGCAAACACACTAAATTCCACTGAAGTGCTCACTTTACAATACTTCATTTTATGTTATGTGAACCTCACCTTGACAAAAAACAAACAAACCAGGGTTGGCCAGGCACAGTGGCACATGCCTGTGATCCCAGCACTTTGGGAGGCCAAGGCAGTGGATCATAAAGTCAGGAGATTGAGACCACCTTGGCTAACACAGTGAAACACCATCTCTACTAAAAATACAAAAAATTAGCCGGGCATGGTGGCAAGCGCCTGTAGTCCCAGCTACTCAGGAGGCTGAGGAAGGAGAATCAACTGAACCTGAGAGGCGGAGGTTGCAGTGAGCCAAGATTGCACCACTGTACTCCAGCCTGGGCGAGAAGAGTGAGACTCCGTCTCAAAAACAAAACAAAACAAAACAAAAAACAAAAACACAGGGTTGCTACGGACCTCACCAGTTGGTTGGGAAGATTCAGAGACAAGATGGCCATGTAGCCCGAGCTCAGCCAGTGACGCTGGTGAATGTCAAAGAATGGAAGCTGTCACGACGCGGAAGCTGTGTCAGTTACTTGCCTTGCTGGACTCCAGACTGCAGGAGTCAGATGCCAGAGCCAAGGGGGAGGTGAGGGCAGGTGGCCTCGTTGGGCACACCCCTTAGTGAGAGGCAGAGGGAGCTGCAGGGGCTGCTGTGGCAGCTGTGGGTGAAGAGTCCTGTGCTTCAGGCCCAGGCTCCTGCCTCTGGTTTGCTGTGCACTTTGGGCTGGCCCTTCAGCCCCACTGTTTCTGAATCTTCCCCTGTCTGCCTGGGTACCTGCTCTTCCGCCACTGTATCAGACACCTGACCCCATCCTAGCTCTTGGTTCTTGTGTCTGTGGTCTATTTTCCCTATAGAATCAAGGGGATACTGGATCTGTTTCATTCATGACTATATTTCTAACACCCAGTGCCTGGCACACAGCAGGTGCTCAATAAATATCTGTTGAATGAACAAATGCATGAATCCTCATTCTTTGCATAGTGGGTGCCAGGTCCTGTCTGTACGAAGTGCTGTCAGTAAATAGCTGTGAGGTCAATGTTATCATTATCCCCGTTTTAAAGATGAGGAAGCTGAGGCTCTGGGACATGGAATGGCCATAGCAAAATTGGGATTCTGACCTGGCAGCCCAGCAGCAGAGCCTCACATTGATCTACCCTAGCCTAGGCTGTCTCCTGACCTTGGAGCTCCCACTCTGGGAGACAGCTTGGGCCCTGAAGCATTACTCTGCCTCCTCTGCCACTGGGCCCCGCCCACTCCTAGGGAGGGGCTCCCTCTGCAGCCCTACACCCACCACCCAGAGCCCTTTCTCAGACTCACAGCCACCCCATCCGGCTCTCTTCCCTGGGAACCTCCTGGGAACCTCCGTCATAAACAAGGCGAGGCCCTGATCTGGCCTGTCTCTCTGCCCTGGGGCCTTCCTCACCCCAGGGAACCTTAGTTATAAATATGGGGGTTACGCCTTGAGCTTGTATTAAGCACCTTTCATCTGGGGAGCTCCTGGCTGCTGGGAGGCTAATTAGCTACTCTCTGGGAAGAGTGAGTAAGAGCTGCTGTCCTAATCCTAGCCAGGCAACTGCCTAGCTAGGCAGGGGGCTGACCCTCCTGGGAGAGGTGTGTGAGCCATCATCTTGGGTCAGCCACTCCTCCGTATTTCTCCTTCTATAGGACCTCCTCACAAGAGTCCCTTCTCTCTGGCTAGTAATAAAGCCCACTGTTTATTGCGTGCTTATTATGTGCCAAGGGCTTGCGAAGCCTTTGCCTGTTAAATATATTTGTGTAGAGCAGTAGGGCTGTCATAGAATAACAACCATGTGGAGCCCTACTTCTTGCTGGCACAGGGCCAGCACTTCTGCACATGCCCTCATGGAGTGGACGGGAAGCCCTCAGTGTGGTGCCTGGCACAGATCAAGCACTTGCTAAGTGGTAGCTGTTATCAGTAATCTTCAGAACAGCCCCATGAGGTAGGTATCATGGGATTCCCATTTCTCAGATGAGGAAACTGAGGCTCAGAAAGATTAAAAACCACTTGCCGGTGATCACAGAGTCAAGGGCAGAGTTGGGCTGATTTGATTCTAAAGTTGCACATTGTTTTTCAGCTGCTCCCCTCTCCCGTCCCCGAACCTGGAGTCTGTTAACACCAACGACCTTGCTTTGCATAACGCTAGGGTCATGGGGTCAGTGGGCAGGGCTGTTCTCTTCCATCTCTCCCACAGAGCACTGGTGGGCTAGACATGGACCAAAACCCTTGGAGATCATCTAACACAACTCATCTCTGCTTCTCACTTCTTAGATGTGAAAACTGGGGACAGGAGGGACTGAGCAGGGGGACAGGATTAATGGGATGATACCTCCTTGTTGGAGCATGAGGGATAAAGAGCAGTGGTTGGTGCTCATCCCACCCCCTGCCATCAAGCTGGTGTTGATACCAAGTAAGAAGCATTTGCACATTAGAGTTCCCGGCTGCCATTTGTTATCCTGGCCCACCTGCGAAGAGCAGCACCAGGGACATTTGGGCAGGGTAGGAGTGCACACAGCAGGCTGGAGCTGAGACTGGGGCCGGAAGGGTGGACTCCACTTACCTGCCCGCCAGGGTGCTTGGAGCCTCCGAGGGCCGGCTGGCCCCTTTGTGCCATGTCTCACACAGCACTGCAGTGATCCTGGTGCAGAGCACATAGTGGGTGCTTACAAATGCTCACTGGATCCTGGACCTGCAGGAGGGAGGAGATGGCACACCGAGGGCATTGATGGGTACATGGTAACATCATGTGCACTCATCATTATCAGCAGATCTGGTTCCATCAAATGGGACTGTCCTTCAGGCCTTACAGAAGGGACCTATGTAAATCTGTTCAGGCAAAGAGAAGTTTGTGGGCTGTGGGTACCTGGCTGGGGTTCCTGTGGGGTTCCTGAAGGTGGAGCACCCTTCTTGGTGCTGAGTGGGCAGCTACAGTCTGAGCAGCCAGGCCCTCTTCTCCCCTGGATGCTGCCCTTCTGTGGAGGCAGCTCTGTGGGGACCAGAGGCATGGACCTAAGAGGCTCTGACCCCCTGCCTGCCCCTGCCAGTCTCTGCTTCTACAGCCAGGGTCTGCACCTTACCTGCTGGGCCTGCCAGCTCCAGTCCCTCCCCATTCCCCTCAGGACCTCATCCCTCCTCCTCCTGGCCTGAGCTTGAGGGTTTCCTCAGAGAAGTCTTCCCTGAGAACTTTCCCACTCCAAATCGAAATTAGTGCCCATTTATATATGTTCTCTGAGCACCTTATCCTTTTCCTTCACAGGAATTTGAAAGCCTTTTCAAATGGAATCCTGTATTTCTTTACAGGTGATTTGTTGAAACAAGCTTAGTTAGACTAAGCTCCACCAGGGCGGGAAAGTTGTTCCACCCACTCATCCTCAGTGCCTTGCAGGTCATGTTCTGCATTGAATGAGGGGTGACAGAAACCCCAGGACAGAAAGAGTGAGCCGAGCCAGTGGTTCCCGAAATGTGGCTCCAGCGGGCCAGCAGCTCAGCATCACCTGAGGACTTGCTAGAAATGCAAGTTCTCTGACTTATTTGGGGAACCCAGCAATCCGGGTCTGAAAGAACTGTCAAGGGGAGGACAGGGGCGGGGTGGGGGAGGGGATTCCTGTGCACACTGAAGTTTGAGAACCACCGAAGGCGGCAAACCTGCTGTTGGGTCAGTGTGCACTGTGGCGGAGGGCAGCTTTGGCGGCCTGTAAGAGGAACAACGGATGAGCAAATCCCACCGTCAAATGTAGCAAAAGGCAGAGCGTGGACACGTCACCCCGACCCCCAAACGGGACCCAGGAGTGTTGTTCGGCGGGCTGGCCACTGGAGGGCAGTGTGGCCACGTCCATCGCGCCGCTTCCGAGGGCTTCCGGGAGAGAGCGGCTGCGGGACGCCAGGCCCTAAGCTGTAGCGAGGATCTCGCCCCCGCCGCAGCCTCCTGCAGCAGTCTTGGTTCTCGGGCCCCTCGCGTTTCGAGCCGCCGAGCAGCCCCGGCCCCTGTCTCTCCTCCCGGCTGCGTCGCGCCTTCCGCTCCCGGGTCGGGCCTGGTGCGCGCGTCTGGATGGCTTCGGGCCTGGAAGGTTCGCGAGGCCCCGGGAGCCGAAGGGGGCGCTGGGAAGGAGATCCCAGCAGACCGACCGGGGCAGAGCGCCAGGGAGGGCGGCGGAACCTTGGCTGCTTCCCGGAGCCCAAGGGCAGTCCTCCCGCGTGATCCGCGCGCTGCAGAGCGCGTCGGCCATCTTGGCGGCCTCGCCCCGGCCCGGTGCCCGGCCCGGCTAGGTGCTAGCTCGCGGCGGAGCGGACGCCGGGGGGGGCGACCGGAGAGCTCGACCGCGAAGCTCGGCCGCGGGAGTGCGGGGGCGTCGCAGAAGCCCAGGAGCACCCTGGACTCTGGCAGCTAACCCCGGGTTTTGGGAATCGCCACTCCAGTAGCCGCTGCGAAGGCAGGCCTGAGCCTCTGAGCCTCAAATGTACTGAGTGGCCTCAGTCGCCCTCCTTTTTGCCCCATATTCGAAGAGCAGAAAGTCAGGGGCCGTTAAAGTAGGTCACAGCGGTCAGCAGGTTTTTGTGGGGCAGGCAAGTGACAGGGTCCAAGACCAGGCGTAGTATCTGCTTGCTCAAGAGGCACACCAGTCATCAAGCCAGAGGTCAGGGACTGGCACCACGGAGCTGGCTCCAGGCGGCCGAAGCATTCCCGTCCCTGTCCACCATGGGGACTTGAAATGCCATTCTCAGGAGCCCCAGGCCCCACTGTTGCCTCTGTCTAGCTCAGTTCATACATGGATGCTGTCTTTCTGGCCCTTGGTTATTTCTCGGGTTCCAGAACATCCGTTCATCGTGTCAGTCCTTAAAGGTTCAGCTTAAAGATCAGCTCCACCAGGAAGCTTTCCCGGATTTCTCCTTTTAGTTTCCAGCAAAATCCGCCTTCTCCCTTCTCTGCCCACCTTGAGTAGCAGTAGCTACTGCTATAAACTCTCCTGTTTTTTCCTTACAGTCTTTGTCACTGCATCCTCCCTCACTGAATTGTTGAATTGTGAGACCCCTTGAGGGTCAGGACCCTGTGATACTGGCCCTGGGGTCCCACGTGCAGGTCTTTCAGGAAAAGGTTGTTGCAAGGAGATCATGGGATTGAATGGGTTTTGATACAAATTTTATGTTGAAATCAAGTTCCCAAACGTTTTGAACCTTGGGCAAAAGGGACATGTAATGGTCTTTTCTTAAACCTGTAATGGAATCCTTTTGTGTGTTTAAGTGCTTTAAGTTAGTTTTAGTAGACATGTCAGGGTGCTGTAGGAACACAGCCATGGGTCTGCGCCTAAGCAAGACAACAACTGAGCCGGTGCTGGGTGCTTCCTCTGCGTGGCCTGGTGTCAGGGCATGTCAGATGGGATGGCAGGCTGTGGGTCCGGCCCCAGGGTCCAGCCAAGGAAGCTCCTGGGGCCTTGGCCTGGCTTGAGGCTGTGATTTCAGACTCCTCGCTGGTCTAAGTGGATATCTCAGAGGAGGCAAAAGAGAAAGTGCCTTGACAGCCTTCAAGAAGCCTGGAGCTAAAGGCGAGATCCTTGCTTTTTCCTTTTAAAATAATAAGCCAAACTTCTCCCATGAAGGACTCCAGAAAACCCCGTTCATGCTTCACCCACAGATGATTTGCTGAATGCTCATTAAGGGGAAAACAAAGAGGTGGTTTTGTTTATTTATTTAAAAGGAAAAATAAATGAGCTGTGACAAAACAATTTGAAACCAGGCCCCTCTGAGACCTGGGCTTTCACTTCCTTGATGGGAAGTAAAACAGAGAATCGAATCCCCCTCCAAATAAAAGTGAAGTTAATAATCAGACAGCTCGAGCCCTGGCCACATCCTGTGTCAGCCCCCTCCCTCCCTGGGCTTTCTGTTTATAGCTGTGAGTGCTTTCCCTCCTTCCCTCCAGAGACCGAGCCGGCTTAACCCTTTCCTCCCCATCCTGGGATGCCAAGTCCAGCTCTGAGATAGAGGTGGGCTCCTCACACCAACTGGTGCCGGCCTCACCTCAGCAGGCAGTGGCTCTCCCCAGGCCTGCCGGCGTGGGCCTGTGTCCCCCACAGGGCAGCCAGCTTGGATTTGAGCAATACTCCCTGCTTGTCCTGCACAAAGCCTGAAAGTATCACCCTTCCTCTCCACCCCTCCAGAGGAAGCCTAAGTAAACCCATTCCCATTCCAGACTCCATGGAGCTCTGTAGCCCGGTTGACTCCAGAAAGCTGCATTCTGACAGAGGCACAAATCTTTGGGTTCTGGTCTGTGCTGAGAGCAGCACTCTGTGCATGTCTCTGGGCTACTTTCTGTGAAAACTTTCCACTTCCTTCAAATGCCTTCCCACGTGGTAGTAGCATGTTGATTTTTTCCAGAACCCCATGGGGTCAGTAGTAGCACATCCCATTGGGCAGAGGAGGGCCCCTTGCTAAATTAATTGAGGGTTTTCTACTGATCTAAGCAACAACTCTGCCCCGTAGGGCCATAGTTATCCTCATTTTACAAAGGAGGAAACGGGTTAAGTACCTTGCCCAGTGTTACAGAGCTAATACATAGCAGAGCTGGGATTTGAACCCAGGCATTCTGGCTCTAGCGTGCCATTAGCCTCTGCACTCAACATTTAGTAGCCAGAGACTGCCCTCTTCTCTGGAGCCAGGGAGCTTTCAGAAGCTTAGGATAGTCTCACGAATGCATTTGAAGGTCCCAAAGCCCAAGGACCTTTTGAGAACATTTTCGAACTTTGTCTTGGGCTCTCTGGCCTCCTTTCATGTTTCCTCCTAGGCAAGAACAGGGAGCAGGTGGAGGTGCCACGCTCCATCCTTCCTCCTCCAGAATCAGCAGTGTCAAGACGTGGCTGGATGTGAATCCTCCATCCCTTCATCTGGCTGGCAAGACTTAGAGCAAGAACCCAAAGACTTGGTGTGGCCGCTCTGACAGTGGGCTGGATGACCACCTTGTCTCCTCCAGTCTTGTCACCCAAAGTCACAATCACTCTCTTCTGGCTGAAGTGTGTCTGCAGGAAGCCATCCACCCAGTAGTCTGGGGGCATGAACTGGCTGTGCAGGCCACTTGCCTCTCCTGGAAGTCCTTCTGCGTGCCATGGCTCCTTGATTTCTTCTTGGAACTGTATCTCTTGCCCAGCCACCTTTGCACAGCCATTTGGCAGGGCCTTCGCACTGATGAGGGGATGTTGTGTTGCCCCTGTTGTCTGGAGGCCTCCATAGGCCGCTCATCTGAGACTCAGCTAGCTCCTTTTTGGGAGATGTTGCCTGCTGTCTGTCTAAAGCACCCTGAACCCCATCTTTCGGAAGGATTGGTCTGCAGGTCTACTTTCTGGGGGTGCATTTTGACATTCAAAGCCATGGACAGGAGTGGGCAGTCCCCTATTCTTCATTTTCCAACTAATTCTTCAACTAGAGAGAGCTGTGGTGGCTCCATCCCAACTGCCCTGTTCTTCCCAGAGCCTGGGCAGCTCCTCTGGCTGGGGGCGCTGAGCACAGCCATGGCTTCTGTGACACCCGAAGGAGTTGACACCCAGCAGGGTACTTAGCCCAAAGGGGTTTCAGAGGATATGTGCCTCAATTTTTATTTCACTTAAATGTTTAAGAAAACCATTCAGATTCAAACAGGGTGCTCACAATGGGGTGGCTCTACTGTGGTCCTCTCGGAGGCTTAGCAGCCACAACAAACCACATATCAGACCTACCCTGTTACAGTTCTTACCATGTGAGGCACTCAACACACTGATCTCATTCACCCTCACACCCTGGGAATTGGGGTATGTCTAAGTGTCCCCATTTTCCCGTTGTGAAAAGTGAGGTTAGAAAGGTTGAGTAGCTTGCCCACCCTGCTATGATGGCTTTCTACTGAGGAAAAAAAAAAAAGTTAATTGTGCTTTAAAAATACATTGAAAGCAAATTTAAAGTAATTTTTACTGAACTTAAAAGCAGTATCAAAATGGACATCAGTCCCTCTGCCTGCACTCTTCCGGCCCAAGAAGCCCAGAGGAGCAGGACCCCACTCTTGGTCCCACAGAAGTGTGGGGAGGGTTGCCCTTGGGTGGGGGTGTCCATCTGCTCTCCAGCCCTCTCCTACTCCCAACAGGTTTTTCCATAGCTGCATTTCCTGTCCAAGGACACGTGTCTATAGGAAGTAAATATTGTATTGCAAAAGCTAGTAATACAAGAATCATTGAGTTAAAACTTTTTTAGTTTTTATGAACTTAAAACATTTTATTACGTAAAATTTATATGCAGAAGGAGACAGAGTAATTGATGGACCCCATGTGCCCACCCAGTCTCAACATCACCAACTCATGGCCAAACCTGCTCATTAGTGCCACCATCCACCTCCCTACTGCCTGTACAATTCTGAAGTCGATTCTATATATCACATCATATTATTTCATCTGTCAGTAGTTCATTCTGGGCCAGGTGTGGTGGCTCATGCCTGTAATCCCAGCACTTTGGGAGGCTGAGGTGGGTGGATCACTTGAGGTCAGGAGTTTGAGACCAGCCTGGCCAATATGGTGAAACCTTGTCTCTACTAAAAATATGAAAATTAGCCGTGGTGGAGTGCGCCTGTAGTCCCAGCTACCAGGAGACAGGTGAATTGTTTTAGGACAGAGGTTGCAGTGAGCCAAGATCACACCACTGAACCCCAGCCTGGGGGACAGAGCAAGACTCTCTGTCTCAAAAAAAAAAAAAAAAAAAGTTCATTCAGTATCTCCAAAGAATAGACTCTTGTTAAACTTAGCTACATTATCATTATTCCACCTAAAAATTAATAATACTCCCTAAACATTACCAAGATTCAGTTGGTGTTCAGATGTCTCAAAACACTTTTAAACTCTTTGATTTTCCACTTACTGAAAGAAAAAAAAAATCAGCCCCCAAATAAGAATTTCTCAGCGTTTGGTCATCTCCTTTCAATCCAGCTCATAAAAGGCCAGATTTCTGAATCTGGGCAGAAACACCCGGTTATTAAGTCTCTGAGACAATGATCATGCTAAAATCTCCCACTTGCAACTCACTGTTCAGCCAGCATCTTGCTGGCTGAACATCCTGGGTGCTAGGTCAATGTGGGCTCCGTTTCACAGAAGGATAAACACATGCAAGGGTGGGGATGCAGCCAGCTTGAGCTAATTCAGGGAGACTGGAGTGCAGCCCCCTGCGTCCTCCCACCCACACAGCCGCCCTGGCTGCAAGTGCTGTCCTTGGTTTTTCCCGCCAGCGCTCCACCCGCCAGCTGCTTGGGCCTCCTCTGGGATGCTCTCCTCGCTCTTGCTTGGGATACTTGACTATGGTCCAGTGGCTCTATGGAATCCCACTTTGTGGGGCCTCCGGGGCTCTTCTTGGTCTTGCCAATTGCTGCTTAATATACAACAAAAGTTGACTGGGTTCCTTTATTTTGGAAGGGGAGCTCATACACATCAAGAGTGTGCCAAGTGCTTTGCTTATCAACCCCAGGAGATGGGGGTTGTTGTCATGGCTGTTTCACAAAGGAGGAGACCGAGGGAGACGAGTGAGTTCTCCACTTGCCTAGGTGGAGGCAGTGCCAGACTTTGAACATGGTCAGCCTGAACATCGAGTGGGTGTGCTTCACGCCAACATATTGGTTCCCAGCTCTTAAGACTCCTTTAACAAACTGCTGGGCAGCTCGGCCCAAGACCAGGCCCTTATCCTTTTGAGGACCAATCTCGATAAGTTGGGATCTGCTGTCACCTTGCACTTTTCCTGAAATTTCCACATCTTTCAAACCAGATAGAGCATGACTTCTCGATATACACACACTTATTAGGAGATTAGTTCAGCTGAATGGACTACGTTTTACGTATTTCAGCTCATAATTTCCTGGTTTGTCTTTTTTCATGGTTAAAGAATAGTGTGAGTCATAGATTATATGACTGTGACATGTTGACGGTTAGAGGGATGGCGAGAAGCTGAGTGTGTAAGGCCACAACGTAGGCATTCGTCCTGCACTTTTTGTCACCTCTCAGTTTTTGATAGAAAAGAAATGTTACTTTTGGGATGTACAGAAGTATCAGGGTCAAGTAGGTAAGAATTTTTGAAGGGAGATGGGCTGGTGTGAGTACCATTTTCCTTGTCCCAGCTGATCAGAGCTCAGACCATGGCTGAACTTTGGAGGTGCAGTAGAACATGCTTGGTGAGCTGCTTGTCTACGGGGAGCCTGCCTCACCCGCTGAGGACAGCCTGGGCACTGCATAGCTGGGCACTGAACCCAACACCCACATTGCTACTTTCTTTGCTTCTCAATTTTGCCTGGGTTTGCTTCAGCTTTCTCCCTACTCCTGCTCCCTTAGGGAAATGAAGAGTGTAGAGGTTTAAGTAAGCAAACTGGAAAACCCAAAGCAGTCACAGAGAAGGGAGGCACTGACAGAATCGCAGAAGACAGAGAACAATTAGAAGGCTGAAAGAAGCCAAGTTGACAAGGGACCAGCACCTTCCACAAGTTTTCATGGGGTTTATGGACACAAGGCATTGAGGTACTGAACTTCAAGAAGCTGTTTGCCAACCAGAACAATGGTTGTGGCTATCTTTAGGCTCCCTTGAGAAGACATGGAAATTAATTTAAATCATCTAAGCTGTTAACAAAAGTTGCATTTGCTGGGATTTCTGTGGCTTTGCATAGAGGTGGGTATGCCAATCTGCCGTGAACCTCTGTTTTTCCAGGAATGATGTGTCTGTGGGTTAGATGAGCCCTTATCCACAGAGAGGTGGCTGGGCCAGAGCTCTCTCCAGAAGATGAAAAGCTGATCACACAGCTCTACTCATACCTAATATTCTTCTCCTGGCACAGGGCTCCTGCTCACATTCTCCAGTGAGCCAGCCATAGGACACCATGATGTTAGCCACCCTACTCTGGGGTGAGTTGGACTGGTTTTTGGCCTTGTCCCAGGAAGACTAGCCTTTTCTCTGCAAAAGACTAACGGTGGGAGTGAGGTGGGAACATTGTAGGAAACACAAAGGCAAGAAGGGAAGCTTGCTTTTCTAGGACTGTCCTTGTTCAATGTTAGGAAAAGTCTGAAACCCACACAAAAGCCCTAAGACTCAGTTGTTGCCACCCAGAACATTACCGAGTGGATCTGAATGGGGATCAGGGCAGTTGTTTTCAATTCACTGCTGCCTCCTTTTCTCTCCTGGGTCTTTTGAAAAATTTTTTTTCGGGTGTTGTTTGCTTCATATTCTTCTCTCTTTTCAGAATATTTATAACTGGCCCCCTATTCTTTATCATTCTCAGCTTCCTTCCCCACCTCACTCTGCCTTCTTAGCATAATTTTTCTTTTCTTTTGGTCTGCCTTGTTTTATATCTGGATTCCTGGATGATTTATTTTGTCTGTTTCTTGAATTCTCATCCTCTCCCATTTCTTAGAGTTTTTTGGGTTTTTTCCCCCTTTCAGCTTTAGTTCTTTTCCCTAAAGCTTTCCTTGGGCCACAGAGCTTTTATTCTTGTTCATCAGTTTAAGCAGAGCTGGCAAGGAAGAGGCCACAGCCGGCAGGCAGAGCCACAGAGGCAGAAGAGGTCTTGGGTGCCTGAAGATTCTCCTCCCAGCCCTGGTGTCCTTCTGGGGAGGGGGGTGGGGACAGTGCTGCTCTCCCTATTAGGGCTGATGTTGTCTGCCAGGCCTGGGCTGAGGGTTGGGGCAGATGGTGTCTCCTCCACAGTGTGTGGGCTTGGACTCCATGGCTCGGGGAGGCAATGGAATCCATCCTTCGGGCTGTGGATTGGAGAATTAACTACTTTAGACCAGGAGAGGCTGGAGCTCCACGGAGTTGTACCCACTGGGAATGTATTCCTTGCAAAATTCAGTGCTGTGTTTGAAGAATTTGCAGCATAGGGTCTGCCTCTTGGGAGAGTCTGGGTTTCCTTCGATTCTCACTCAGTGGCTGAAGTTGACTTGGGCATCCAGAGATGTCTACTGGGGAGACAGAGGCAGTTTTCCAGTGGAAGGTCCTTTCTTCCCACTGTCCCTGCCCTTAGCGAGTGGGCATTTTGAGGGTACAGGGGGAATGCTAGAAGAGGCCGATAATTGTGGGGTATATTAAAGACTCTTGGCCACTGGGCAGCAACACAAACCCACCTGTGGGAGGCTCTCAGGTCAGCCCTGGTACTGATGAAGCAGGTGGCACTTCTTGATGGGTGTGGTAGCAGAAAAATCCTAGAAGTTGCAACCATGCCCCTCCCTGTCTGAAGTGGTGGGGTGGGGTGGGAGCATTCTGGGCCCTGCTCCCCATCTGTCAGAAGCAAATTGACTGGAGTCCATCTGGCTGTCCCCACTGGTCCAGGCACGCTTCCCATCCTAGGGCCTCAGTCCTCAGTGGGTATGGCTGAGGGCAGCTGCATCAATGCTCTGCTTGGGCACACCCGGAGGTGGGTGGCAGCCTGGGGTGAGGAGGCTCAAGAGCTCCAGGTAGATACCCATCGGACTGCCTTATCTTTTCTAGGCCCTGTGGTAGCCACCTCCTTCTCTGGCGAGTGCAGTTGAGGACCGTTTCCATAGGCACACCTTGCTCTCTTTCTGGGTCCCATCTGTTCTTCATCATCATCTTCACCAATGCACAGTGTTCCCTGTCACTTGAGGGAAGTGCTATTGGTTATATAAAAGCTTGAGAGAAATCTTTGCTTACATTTTATATTTTATTTATATTTTCTAAGCCTTCTACTCTGGAGTCCAACTCTCAGGGTCCAGCATCCTTTAAGGTCTGAAAAGCATAAACTTCAGGAGGCCAAAGGCCCTTACTCCTAGGCCCTGTGGACTTGGTTTACCTCTGATTCCAGGCAGTACCTCCTGCTCTATATAGAGGGCTGTAATCAACAGAAGGAATGACTAGGGGATGGGTGATGAATGTTCTTCCAAGTTGCTCCTCTTGACTCTGGCAGGAGAGCTGGGGGCAAAGACCCAGCCCCTTTGACATAGGAATTCAGGTGGGGATTAGGATCCCAGCGACCTCCTGCTCCTTGCCTCTCGGGCCGCCTCACTCCTAGCTGGGCCCCAAATGCAGCCCTCTTAAATCTGTCCATGTCAGTGCCTCCTCATTCCTGCCACCTCCCTCTGCGTTCTCTTCCCACGCACCAGCACCACGTTGTATAAATATTTACACCCCCGGGCTGGCAGGAATCTTTCTCCAGCTGCTTCTCTGGTCTCTGGGAGAGCTTGTTTCCTCACCCAGCAGCTGCAGCAGATCTGGTTGCCTTTGGTCAGACAAGAGCAGGCCCTGGTTTGGGGGGCCCACAGTACCCCAGGGTGGAGGGTGCAGTTGGCAGGAGACACTTAGCACTAAAGAAGTCAGAGGGCTGTGGCAAAGGTCCGTCCTCTCTCTCTCCCCTGCCGGCTGTCCACATGGCGACCCTCCAAGAGCTGCCTGATCCGTGCTCTGGCTGGGGAGGTTTCTGTTTCTCAAAAGAACAGCTCCCCAGGGTGGAGACGGCCATCCTGGGGTCTTGCTAGGGAGTAGTGGAGGATAATACCAAAGCAAACTCGCTGATGCTAGGACAAAATACCACCTTGGTTTACCTGTGAACACTTTACAGCTTACTAGTAAGTGTGAGTCCCTTGATCTGCCCTGAAGATGACCCCACAGTTTAGACCAAGACCCCCTTGGAGAATCTGCATATTGGGCCTCTCCCTAGCATCTGCCCCAGTTCACCCTCCCTCCCACCGGTCTCTGCCCATCTTTCCACCCCAGGGGTAGAGAGAGGAGAGGACAGACGCTCCTTCTCCCACCTTCCTTGGTGACCCAGGCAAGGAAGCAAACTGGCACTTGGGTTCCCATGGGCTGGGCACCATGCACAGTACTTCCCCATGTTCTCATGTAGTTACTCAAGTCACAGCAGATTTCTTAGTTTCCTCATGCTTGTCTCCTCTTTCTGCCAGCAAACAGCAGCAGCCATGTGGCAGCAACCCCCCAGATACTGAGCCCAGGCTTTCTCTAGTCCTGAGTTCAGCAGGGAACCTCTGAGAGCCAGTCAAGGACTGGACATCAATCTCAGTCACTCACAGCAGGTGCAGGTCACCTGCTGCCACCTCTTGCTCCTGTGCCTCAGTTTCCCTTCAGCCTGTGGGAGATCATTAACCTGTGCTTTGTAAAGCATTTCAAATTTAGCAAAAAACAAGTTTGAAAAAGCAACATCATTTCAAATCCTTTTTCTAGTTATGGGGGTTGGCATGGCAGAAGAGATTGTTTGGGTATCAGAGACTAAGGAGAATGTGTGTTCAGTGCTTTGGGGAAGCTGGGGAGGAGGTAAACAGGGTTTAAAGGGCCTGGATTTTATATCCAACAACCCCTAACATTCAAGTAATAGAGCCATTGGAGGTATGTGTGGGATTGTGTAGGGGTTCTGATGGGGGCCAGGGACAAAGACCCCAGTTTCCCTGCACGCACACTGCTGGAAAGTAAACAAACAGATCCCATCTCTCTCTCTCTCTCTCTCTCTCTCTCTCTCTCTCTCTCTCTCTCTCTCTCTCTCAGTGGGTGATGTAGTGCTGAGGTGGGGGGATTGCTTGAGCTCAGGAGTTTGAGGCTTCAGTGAACTATGATTGTGCCACTGCACTCCAGCCTGGGCAACAAAGTGAGACTCTATCTCAACAAAGTGGGCTCTCAGTGGGTGATGTGGATGGAGAAGGGCAGGAAAGTGCAATGCAAAAGCCATGCATTTGTGAGATATTCTTGCTGTCTGCCTGTCTCTCCAGCCCTCCAAAATAAAATAAAAGCCTGACCTGGCAGATATTAATACTACAGAGTCAGGGCTGGTGTACAGCCATCCCCTTCTTCCCCCTTCTGTTTCTATAAGCGGCTGAAATAAATTTAGCGAAACAACCCCACCCGTCTGAGGGCCTAAGATTTCAGAGCAGTGGGATTCTCTACCCTGAAAACCCCTGTTTTTCATATCTGAGAGCTTTTTGTTTAAATTCCTTTTGGGAATGGAATGCTGTCAATCTAAAATAACTATTATACTGCAGTCACCTATTCCTCATAGATAAATGCTTTGACACAGTATGCCTTGCCGAAAAGCTGATCTACAAATGCTCTGCAGCTTAAGATTGCCAGTTCTATGGGGCATATGCCTAGTCGGATCTGTTGGGGTGTTTAATGTAAGATTACTCTTCTAACGTCTGTGCATATTCAGCCAAGTCCCCCTGTTGTCTGTCATACAGGACAGTGATTGTGGCTGGCTAAGTTAGCAAAGTAGGGAAGCACTAAATCGTCATTCCCCCCCCCCCCCGCCCACGAATACTTACTGAGAACCTACTGTCTGCTAGCCACTAAGCACTAGAGGTTGAGTTGAGAGCAGAGAGCCTGCTTTGATAGAGCATACATACTAGTGGGAAGGGAATGTTAAAAAGTTAAATGGCTACCAAAAACTGGTAACTAATGTTGTACGTTAAAATGAAAAACTGAATGCTTTCCCCCTAAAATCAGGAACTAGGTCAGGGCATCTACTCTTACCATACCTAGTCAACATCATATTGCAAATCCTGGATAGGGAAATCAGGCAAGAAAATGAAATATAATGCATACGTTAGAAAGAAATTAAGTTATTCCTATTTATAGACAACATGTTTAAAAACAAAAACAGGCCTGGTACAGGGGCTCATGTCTGTAATCTCATCACTTTGGGATGCTCAGGCAGGAGGATTGCTTGAGGACAGAAGTTGGAGACCAGCCTGAAAAACATAGTGAGATCCTATCTCTACAAAAAATTTTAAAAACTAGCTGGGATGGTGGCATGTACTTATAATTCCAGCTACTTGGGAGGCTGAGGTGGGGGGATTGCTTGAGCTCAGGAGTTTGAGGCTTCAGTGAACTACGATTGTGCCACTGCACTCCAGCCTGGGCAACAAAGTGAGACTCTATCTCAAAATAAAAATAAAATGAAAATAAGTAAACAAAAACACCCCAAGTAATCTATCAAAAAAAAATCCTCTTGGCCGGGTGCGGTGGCTCACGCCTATAATCCCAGCACTTTGGGAGGCCGAAGTGGGTGGATCACGAGGTCAAGAGATTGAGACCATCCTGGTCAACAAGGTGAAACCCCTCTCTACTAAAAATACAAAAAGCTGGGCATGGTGGTGCGCGCCTATAGTCCCAGCTACTCGGGAGGCTGAGGCGGGAGAATTGCTTAAACCCAGGAGGTGGAGGTTGCGGTGAGCCGAGATCGCGCCATCGCACTCCAGTCTGGGTAACAACAGTGAAACTCTGTCTCCAAAAAAAAAAAAAAACCCTCTTACAACTAAAGTGATTTTGTGAGATCACAGGAGACAAGGTCAAACACAAAAATCAACTAAATTTCTATAAACTAATGAACAAGTGGAAACCAAGATTTTAAAAAATTACAATAGTTCAAAAATTAGGAAATATTAGGTATAAATCTAATGAAACATATATAGAATCAGTGTGCTAAAAAAACTATAAAACAGCTGGGCATGGTGGCATATGTCTGAGGTCCCAGCCACTTGGGAGGCTGAGGCTGAAGCATCATTTGAGCCCAGGAGTTTGAGGCTAGCCTGAACAATATAGCAAAACCCCATTTCAAAAAAAGATTAAAACTATAAAACACAGATTAAAGAAATCAAAAAAGTCCTAAATAGACATACTGTGTGCATGAATTAGAAGACTCAACATAGTAATTCTCCCTGTAGTGATCTATATATCTAATGCATTTACAGTAAAAATCTCAGTAGGGCTTTTTTTCCCCCATATATAAACAAGCTGATTCTGAAGTTTATATGCAAAGGCAAAGGAACTAGAATAGCTAAAACAATTTCAAAAAATTGAAAATTTGGAGGAATTATGCCATCTTAAGACTTAGTATAAAGCTCTAATAATTGATGGTGTAGTATTGGTGAAGAGATGGACACAAATCAGTGAAAGAAAGAGGCCTTACAAATATGGCCATTAAATTTTTGGAAAGGTGTAAAGGCAATTCAATGGTAAATGATAATTTTTTTCAACAAATAGTATTGGGAGTGAAAATCTACAGCAAACAAAACAAAACAAAACAAAAAAAACCTCACCCTAAATTTTACATCATATATAAAAACTAACTCTAAATGGATTATAGAGCTGAAGTAACTACTTTTAGGGGAGGATTCTAGGAAAATGGCAGAGTAGGAAGCACCAGGAGTGTTTCCCCTCTTAGAAGATTCTGCACTGGCACAATCTGATTTAACTATTTTGGAACTCTGGAATCTTTTGAAGGCTTGCAAATTCCAGGGAAAGGCTTGAATGGTAATTTGTGTTTAATTTTGGTTAATATCAGCTCTTAGAACAGTAGCATCTATCTATCCCCTACCTCCCACCCTGTGGTTGACAGGTGTGCATGTGTTCCTGGAGTAGCTTATACATAGCTTACAGGAGCCAGGGTGGGCCAAAAGGATCCTGTCCTCCAAATATCAGGGATTTCTGCTCTGATTACTGCTTCTGACAACAGAGGAGTAGACAATGATGCAGGTGGCCATTGCTGTTGAACCTTCTCCCATTGTTGCATGTGCCTCCCCATCTGCTGAACTAACTTGTAGGGAATTTAAAGGGATGAAGGTCCCCTTTAAAAAAAAATCAACTCTTCATTTCTCTCTTTTTCCCCTTTTCATAACCAGACATTAAAGATTAGGACATCCAAAAACAAGTGCATACACAGGGAAAACTTGAAATGCATGCTTAGTCAAAGGCATAGGTGCAGAATATACCTCAGAAGACCTTGCATTTTATACCTCAGGCTGATTGTTCGCACAGAGACAGCCTACAGCAATAATTTTTTAAAAATTACCAAACCTAGCAAACCCTGGTGAAGGGGGAGAATCTGATTTCCATAATTACCACATCATTAGACTGAAATATCCAGTTTTCAACAACAACAAAAAATCACAAAGCATACAAAGAAACAGGAAAGCATGACCCATCCAAAAAATAAATCAACAGAAACTGTTCCTGAAAAAGAACTGATGGCAGATCTGCTAGACAAAGTCTTTAACACAACTGTCTTGGAGATGATCCAAGATGGCTGAATAGGAACAGCTCTGGAGTGCAGTTCCCAGTGAGAACATAGAGGGTGGGTGATCACCACATTTCCAAAAGAGTTTTTGCTGCCCACAGACCCGGAGATTCCTGGGCAGAAAAGTGTGACGAGTCTCCAGCATGGCTGCTGCAGCTGGCACAGCAGGTCTGCACACAAAAACTCACACAAATATGGGTAGCCATTTAACCTGGTGCCTGGAATGCCTGGGAGACAGAGTCACCCATTCAACTGAAAAAAGGGGCTGAAACAGGGAGCTAGGTGATCTGGCCTGGCAGGTCCCACCCCCACAAAGACCAGCAATCTGAAACGCTCTGGATTGAGAGTTTCACAGCAAGCACAGCTGGACCTGGGATCGTCCAGCTCTGTGGGGGGAAGGGCATCTGCCATTACTGCAGCAGTCCACCACTACCGAGGCAGTCCGCCATTATTGAGGCAGTCCGCCATTACAGAGACAGTCCACCATTACTGAGGCAGACCGTCATTACTGAGGCAGTTCTAACTACACCTCTATAAACAAAACTGCAAGGAAGTTCAAACAGCAGCAGAGCAGAGCCCACAGCAGCTTAGCAATGCCTCTGCTGTCAGACTGTGGCTAGGCTACCTCCTTGCTGGGCAGGGTATCTCTGAAAAAAGGCAGTAGCATATCAGGAACTTATAAATAAAGCCCCACCTTCCCAGGACAGAGCACCTGGGAAAAAAAGGTGGTTATGAGTTCCATTGCAGCAGACTTTACATAACTGCCCAGCAGCTCTGAACGAAACAATGGAGCTCACAGCTCAACACTTGAGCTCTTATAAGGGACAGACTGTCTCCTCAAGTAGCTCCCTGACCTCCATATATCCAAAGAGACACCTCATAAAGGAGAGCTCAGGCTGACATCTGGTGGGTACACTTCTGGGACAAAGATAACAGAAGAAGAAAGTGGCAGCAACCCTTACTGTTCTGCAGCTGCCACAGGTGATCCCCAGGCAAGTAAGGTCTGGAGTAGACCTCCAGCAGTCCTATAGCAGAGGGGCCTGACTGTTAGAAGGAAAACTAAAAAACAGAAAGAAATAACTTCATTATCAACAAAAAGGACATCCACTCAGAGACCCCATCCAAAAGTCACCAACTATAAAGACCACAGGTAGATAAATCCATAAAGATGGGAAGAAACCAGCACAAAAAGGATGAAAACACCCAAAACCAGAACACTTCTTCTCCAAGGGATTACAACTCCTCACCAGCAAGGGAACAAGGCTGGATGGAGAAGAGTCTGATAAATTGACAGAAATAGGCTTCAGAAGGTGGGTAATAACAAACTTTTCTGAGCCAAAAGACCATGTTCTAATCCAATGCAAAGAAACTAAGAACCTTGAAAAAGGTTTGATGAAATGCTAACGAGAATAAACAGCTTAGAGAAGAATGTAAATGAATTGATGGAGCTGAAAAACACAACACGAGAACTTCACAAAGCATACACAAGTTTCAATAGCCGAACTGACCAAGTGGAAGAAAGGATATCAGAAATTGAAGATCAACTCAATGAAATAAAACAAGAAGGCAAGATTAGAGAAAAAAAGAGTAAAAAAAAAAAAAAAAATGAACAAAGCCTCCAAAAAATATGGGATTATGTGAAAAGACCTAATCTGCATTTGATAGGTGTACCTGAATGTGACAGAGAGAATGAATCCAAGCTGGAAAACACTCTTCAGGATATTATCCAGGAGAACTTCCTCAACCTAGCAAGGCAGGCTGATATTCAAGTCCAGGAAATACAGAAAACACCACAAAGATACTCCTCAAGAAGAGTAACCCCAAGGCAAATAATGGTCAGATTCACCAGGGTTGAAATGTAGGAAAAAATGCTAAGGGCAGCCAGAGAGAAAGGTCGGGTTACCCACAAAGGGAAGCCCATCAGACTCACAGTGGAACTCTCGACAAAAACCCTACAAGCCAGAAGAGAGTGGGGGCCAATATTCAACATCCTTAAAGAAAAGAACTTTTTTTGGGGGGGAGGAAGGCAGGAAGGGAGGGAAGGAGGAAGGGAGGGAGGAAGGAAGGGATGAAGGAAGGAAGGGAGGAAGGAGGGAAGGGAGAGAGGGAGGGAGGGAGGGAAGGGAAGGAAGGAATTCAAGCAATGAGAGAGACATTGCCGACCTGGATCTAGAGGTTTACAAGTTGATTTCTTTTTTTTGAGAGAAGGAAAGAAAAAAAAATGAGTAAAGGAGAGAAAGAAAGAGGAAGAGAGAGAGGGAGGGTGAACGGAAATATTGCTTTATTCTGAAAAAAAAAAATGGGTATTAATAATGGCCAATCAATGTTTCATTTAAACGTATGACTAGGTGTGATGTGGTATTGACAAGAATGTATATTTTATGTATTTGAAGTGGAGAGCTCCATAAATATTATTTATTAAGTTTACTTGTTCTGGATCTGAGTTCGAGTCCTTGATATCCTTATTAATTTTCTGTCTTGTTGAATCTAAGTCTCTATGTATCTGGGTGTTAGGATCGTTAGCTCTTGTTGCATTGATCCTTTTACCACTATATATTTGTTGCTTTAAAATCTATTTTATCTGCTATGAGAATTGCAACTCCTGCTTTTTATTTATTTATTTATTTATTTATTTTTGCTCTCCATTTGGTTGGTAAATCTTTCTCCATTCCTTTGTTTTGAGTCTTTGTGTATCCTTGCATGTGAAACAGGTCTGGATGTAACATGCCGTTGGGTTTTGGCTATGTCTTTTGATTGGGGGATTTAGTCGATTTAAATTTAGAGTTACTGTCATTTGATGTTAACTGGCTGTTTGATCCATTCGTTGATGAAAATTCTTCTTTATGTTGGTGCTCTTTACTTTTTGGTATATTTTTAGTAAGGCTAATACTGGTTGTTTCTTTCTGTGTGTAATGCCTCCTTCAGAAGCTCTTGTAAAGCAGGCCTGGTGGTAATAAAAATCTCTGAGTACTTGCTTGTTCATAAAAGATTTTATTTTTCCTTCAGTTGTGAAGCTTAGTTTGGCTGGATATGAAATTCTGGGCTGAAGGTTCTGTTCTTTGAGGATGTTGAATATTGGCCCCCACTCTCTTCTGGCTTGTAGGGTTTCTGCTGAGAGATCTGCTGTAAATCTGATAGGCTTGCCTTTGTGGGTAACCTGACCTTTCTCTCTGGCTGCCCTTAGTATTTTCTCCTTCGTTTCAACCCTGGTGAATCTAACGATTATGTGCCTTGGGGTTGCTCTTCTTGAGGAATATCTTTGTGGTGTTCTCTGTATTACCTGGGGTTGAATATTGACCTGCTTTGCTAGTTTAGGAAAATTTTCCTGAATAATATCCTGAAGGGTATTTTCCAGCTTGGATTCATTCTCTCCGTCGCATTCAGGTACACCTATCAAACGTAAATTTGGTCTTTTCACATAGTCCCACATTTCTTGGAGACTTTGCTCATTCTTTTTATCCTTTTATCTCTAATCTTGTCTTTCTGTTTTCTTTCATTAAGTTGGACTTTGACCTCTGTTTTCCTTTCTTCTGCTTGAACAATTTGAGTGTTTAAACCTGTGCATACTTCTTGGAGTTCCTGTATTGTATTCTTCAGTTCCATTAATTCACTTATATTCCTCTCTAAGTTGTCTATTCTCAATAGGATTTCATCAAACCTTTTTTCAAAGTTCCTAGTTTCTTTACGTTGGTCTACAACATGTTCTTTTAACTCACAGAAGTTTCTTATTATCCATTCCTTGAAGAGTGATTCTGTCATTGGGATGCGCTCATTCTCTGTCAAGCCTTGTTCCATTGTTGATGTGGAACTGTGATCATCTTTAGAGGGAGAGGCCTTCTGATTTTGAGTATTCTCAGCCTTTTTACGCTGGTTTCTTCCCGTCATTGTAAATTTATCCTCTTGTCGTCTTTTAAATTACCAACTTTCAGATTAGGTCTCTTGATTGGACGTCCAGGTTGTTAGTTCCCAGGGCCAGAACAGCGGCGTTAAAACTGATGGTGCTTTTCTGCCCAGGATTCTCCTGTCTGGCTTCCTTCTTGTGTCCGTAATGGGCGACTCTGTCTTCCCCGGGCTCCAAACCTCGGTCAGAAGGGGAACCAGTCTCGTTTACTCTGCGCTGAGAGCTGCTGCGCTGAGGTGCCATCACAGCTGCTGCGCCAGTCTCAGGAGTCATGCTGGGGACCCGTGTGGGTCCACCAAACCTCGGTCAGAAGGGGAGCCGGCCCTATTTACTCTGCTCTGAGAGCTGCCGCACTGAGGTGCTGGCGAAGCTGCTGCGCCAGACACAAGAGTCGCGCTGGTGGCCCGTGTGGGTCCTCCAAGCCTCGATCAGAAGGGGAGCCAACCCTGTTTACTCTGCTCCGAGAGCTGCCGTGCCAAGGTGCCAGCAAAACCACTGCACCGGCCACAAGAGTTGTGCTGGTGACCCGTGTGGTTCCTCCACTGGGGATCTTCTGCTCCGTGAGTGACCAGAATTTGTCTGAAAGTGTGGTGTCCTCTAGTTCTCTGCGCTTTGACTGAGAGCTGCCATCCCGAGCTGTTATTGATTGGCCATCTTGGATCAGAAAAGAACTTTCAATCTAGAATTTCATATCCAGGCAAACTAAGTTTCATAAGTGAAGGAGAAATAAAATCCTTTACATACAAGCAATTGCTCAGAGATTTCGTCACCACCAGGCCTACTTTACAAGAGCTCCTGAAAGAAGAACTAAACATAGAAAGGAACAACCAGTACCAGCCACTTGAAAAATGTACCAAATGGTAAAGAACATCAATACAATGAGGAAACTGCATCAACTAATCAGCAAAACAGTCAGCTAGCATCAAAATGGCAGGATCAAATTCACACATAATAATATTAACCGTAAATGTAAATGGGCTAAATGCTGCAACCAAAAGACACAGACTGGCAAACTGGATAAAAAGTCAAAACCATCAGATGGGGATCCAGGAAACCCATCTCACGTGCAAGGATACACATAGGTTCAAAATAAAGGGATGGAGGAAGATTTACCAAGCAAATGGACAGCAAAAAAAAGCAGGAGTTGCAATCCTAATCTCTGATAAACTAGACTTTAAACGAACAAAGATCAAAAGAGACAAAGAAGGGCATTATATAATGGTAAAAGGATCAATGCAACAAGAAGAACTAATGATCCTAAATAGACACGCACCCAATACAGGAGCACCCAGATACATAAAGCAAGTTTTTCATAACCTACAAAGAGACTTAGACTCCCACACAATAATAGTGGGAGACTTTAACACTCCACTGTCAATATTAAACAGATCAACAAGACAGAAAATTAACAAGGATATCCAGGACTTGAACTCAAATCTGGACCAAGCAAACCTAATAGACCTTTACAGAACTCTCCACCCCAAATCCACAGAATATAAATTCTTCTCAGCACCACATCACACGTAGCCTAAAATTGACCACATAACTGGAAGTAAATCACTCCTCAGCAAATGCAAAAGAACGGAAATCATATCAAACAGTCTCTCAGACCATAGTGCAATCAAATTAGAATTCAGGATTAAAAAACTAACTCAGAACCATACAACTTCATGGAAACTGAACAACTGGCTCTTAAGTGTTGACTGGATAATCAATGAAATGAAGGCAGAAATAAAGATATTCTTTGAAACCAATGAGAACAAAGATACAATGTACCAGAATCTCTGGGACACATTTAAAGCAGTGTCTAGAGGAAAACTTGAAGCAATAAATGCTCACATGAGAAGCAAGGAAAGATCTAAGATTGACACCCTATCATCAAAATTAAAAGAGCTAGTGGAGCAAAAAAACTCAAAAGTTAGCAGAAGACAAGAAATAACTAAGATCAGAGCAGAACTAAAGGAGATAGAGACATAAAAAACCTTTCAAAAAATTAATAAATCCAGGAGCTAGTGTTTTGAGAAGATCAATGAAATAGACCACTAGCCAGATTAATAAAAAAGAAAAGATAAAAGAATCAAATAGATGTGATAAAAAATGATAAAAGGGCTATCACCACAGATTCCACAGAAATACAAACTACCAGGCCAGGCATGGTGGCTCAAGCCTGTAATCCCAGCACTTTGGGAGGCCGAGGCAGGTGGATCACAAGGTCAAGAGATCGAGACCATCCTGGTCAACATGGTGAAACACCGTCTCTGCTAAAAATACAAAAAATTAGCTGGGCATGGTGGCACGTGCCTGTAATCCCAGCTACTCGGGAGGCTGAGGCGGGAGAATTGCTTGAACCCAGGAGGCAGAGGTTGCGGTGAGCCGAGATCATGCCATTGCACTCCAGCCTGGGTAACAAGAGCAAAAACACTGTATCAGAAAAAAAAAAAAAAAAGAAATACAAACTACCATCAGAGATTACCAAACAACTCTATGCACATAAACCAATAAAACCTGGAAGAAATGGATATATTCCTGGATACTCGCACCCTCCCAAGCCTAAACCAGGAAGAAGTCGAAACCCTAAATACACCAATAACAAGGGCTGAAGTTGAGGCAGCAATTAATAGCCTACCAACCAAAAAAAAAAAGCCCAGGTCCAGATGGGTTCACAGCAGAATTCTACCAGACATACAAGGAGAGCTGGTACCACTCCTTCTGAAACTATTTCAACAATCCAAAAAGAAGAAATCCTTCCCGAATCATTTTATGAGACCAACATCATCCTGATACCAAAACCCAGCAGAGACTCAACAAGAAAAGAAAACTTCAGGCCAATATCCATGATGAACATAGATGCAAAAATCTTCAATAAAATACTGGCAAACCGATTCCAACAGCATACGAAAAAGCTTATCCATCACGATCAAGTAGGCTTCATCCCAGGGATGGAAAGCTCATTCTACAAATGTAAGTCACCACATAAACAGAACCAAAGACAAAAACCACATGATTATCCCAATAGAAGCAGAGAAGGCCTTCAACAAAATTCAACAGCACTTTATGCTGAAAACTCTCAATAAACTAGGTATCGACAGAATGTATCTCAAAATAATAAAAGCTGTTTATGACAAACCCACAGCCAGTATCATACTGAATGGACAAAAACTGGAAGCACTCCCTTTGAAATCTGGCACTAGAAAGGATGCCCTCTCTCACCACTCCTATTTAATATAGTATTGGAAGTTCTAGGCACAGCAATCAGACAAGAAAAAGAAATAAAGGGTATTCAGTTAGGAAAGGAGGAAGTCAAACTGTCTCTATTTGCAGATGGCATGATTGTATATTTAGAAGATCCCATCATCTCAGCCCAAAATCTCCTTAAACTGATAAGCAACTTCAGCAAAGTCTCAGGATAAAAAAATCAATGTGCAGAAATCACAGGCATTCCTATACACCAATAACAGACTTAGAGCCAAATCAAGAACGAACTGCCATTCACAATTGCTACAAAGAGAATAAAATACCTAGGAATACAACTAACAAAGGATGTAAAGGACCTCTTCAAGGAGAACTACAAACCACTGCTCAAGGAAATAACAGAGAACACAAACAGATGGAAAAACATTCCATGCTCATGGTTAGGAAGAATCAGTATCGCAAAAATGGCCATACTGCCCAAAGTAATTTATAGATTAAACACTATCCCCATCAAGCTACCTATGACCCTCTTCACAGAACTGGAAAAAACCACCTTAAACCTCACATGGAACCAAAAGAGAGCCCACATAGTGAAGTCAATTCTAAGCAAAAAGAACAAAGCTGGAGGCAACACACTACTTGACTTGAAACTATACAGCAAGGCTACAGTAATCAAAACAGCATAGTACTGGTACCAAAACAGACATACAGACCAATGGAAGAGAACAGAGGCCTCGGAGGCAACGCCACACATCTACAACCATCTGATTTTTGATGAACCTGACAAAAACAAGCAATGGGGAAAGGATTCCCTGTTAAATAAATGGTATTGGGAAAACTGGCTAGCCATGTGCAGAAAGCAGAAACTGGACCCCTTTCTGACACCTTACACTAAAATTAACTCCAGATGGATTAAAGACTTAAACATAAGACCTAACACCATAAAAACCCTAGAAGAAAACCTAGACAAAACCATTCAGGACATAGGCACAGGCAAGGACTTCATGACTAAAACACCAAAAGCACTGGCAACAAAAGCCAAAATAGACAAATGGGATCTAATTAAACTCCAGAGCTTCTGCACAGCAAAAGAAACAATCATTAGAGTGAACTGGCAACTGACAGAATGGGAAAAAATTTTTGCAATCTACCCATCTGACAAAGGGTTAATATCCAGAATCTACAAAGAGCTAAAACAGATTTACAAGAAAAAAACAAACAAACCCATTTGAAAGTGAGTGAAGGACATGAACAGACACTTTTCAAAAGCAGACATATATGAGGCCAACAAACATATGAAAAAATGCTCATCATCACTGGTCACTAGAGAAATGCAAATCAAAAGCACATTGAGATACCATCTCACGCCAGTTAGAATGGCGATCATTAAAAAATCTGGAGACAACAGATGCTGGAGAGGATGTGGAGAAATAGGAACACTTTTACACTGTTGGTGGGAGTGTAAATTAGTTCAACCATTGTGGAAGACAGTGTGGCAATTCCTCGAGGACCTAGAAATAGAAATTCCATTTGACCCAGCAATCCCATTACTAGGTATGTATCCAAAGGATTATAAATCATTCTATTATAAAGACACGTGCACACAAATGTGTACTGTGGCACTGTTTACAATAGCAAAGACCTGGAACCAACCCAAATGCCCATCAATGATAGACTAGATAAGGAAAATGTGGTACATACACACCATGGAATACTATGCAGCCATAAAAAAACGATGAGTTTGTGTCCTTTGTAGGAACATGGATGAATCTGGAAACCATCATTCTCAGCAAACTGACACAAGAACAGAAAATCAAACATCGCATGTTCTCACACACAGGTGGGTATTGAACAATGAGAACATATGGACACAGGGAGGGGAGCATCACACACTGGGGACTGTTGGGGGGGACTGGCGGAGGGACAGTGGGGGACTAGGGAGTTAGAGAGGGTTAACATGGGGAGAAATGCCTGATATAGGTGATGGGGATGGAGGTAGCAAATCACATTGCCATGTATATACCTATGCAACAATCCTGCATGTTCTGCACATGTACCCCACAACCTAAAGTGCAATAAAATGTAAAAAATAAAACAACTGTCTTAAAGATGCTGAAAGAACTAAATAAAGATATAGAGATAGTCAAGAAAAAGATGTATGAACAAAATGGGAATAACAATAAAGAGATAGTAAGCCTAAAGTGAAAGTAAAAAGAAATTCTAGAGCTGAAAAGTACAGTAACTAAAATGAAAAATTCACTTTAGGATTCAAAGATAGTTTTGAGCAGGCAAGAAAAAGAATCAGCAAATTTGAAGATAGGACAATGGAAATAGTCAAGTCTGAAGAACAGAAAGGAAAAAAATAGAGGAAAGTGAACAGAGCCTAAAGGACCTGTGGACCACCATTATATGCATATTGGGAGTCCCAGAAGAAGAGAGAGAAAGGGATAATGAGAATATCTGAAACTATGGCTAAAAACTTCCCAAATTTGATGAAAGACATGAATATGAACATCCAAGAAGTTCAATGAACTCCAAGTAAAATAAATCAAAGACGCCCACACCAGGATATGTTATAATCAAACTCTCAAAAGTCAAAGACAAAAAGAGAACCTTGAAGTAGCAAAAGAGAAGTGACTCACATACAATAGATTTTTTTTAAATTAAAGACATAGGGTCTTCCTTTGTTGTCCAGGCTGATCTTCAACTCCAGGTGTCAAGCAATCCTCCTGCCTTGGCCTCCCAAAGGCACTGTTGGTGGGAGTGTTCAACCATTGTGGAAGACAGTGTGGCAATTCCTCAAGGACCTAGAAACAGAAATCCAATTTGACCCAGCAATCCCATTACTGGGTATATATCCAAAGGATTATAAATCTTTCTATTATAAAGACACATGTACACGTATGTTCATTGTGGCACTGTTTACAGCAGCAAAGACCTGGGGAACCAACCCAAATGCCCATCAATGGTAAATTTCAGGTGTGAGCCACTGCATCCAGCTAGAGGAATCCTTAATGAGATTATCAGCAGATTTCTCATCAAAAATTTTAAAGACCAGAGGCAGTGGGCCAATATATTCAAAATGTTAAAAGGAAAAAAAAATCAAACAAGAATTCTATATCTGGAAAAACCGTCCTTCAAAAGTGATGGAGAAAGGAAGACATTGCCAAATAAACAAAAACTGAGGGAATTCACAACCACTAGACTGTAAGAAATGCTCTAGGGGATCCTGCAAAGTAAAATAAAGAACACTAGACAGTGACTTGAAACCATATGAAGAAATGAAGATCTCAATAAAGGCAATTATAAGAGTTAGTATTATTGAAACAATGGTTTGTAACTCCACTTTGTGATATAACTTAAGGGACTCCTTTAAAAAACAATTATTAGTCAAAAAGCTAAAATTAATATAACTTTGGATTGTAACTCCACATTTGTTTTCTACATAATTTAAAAGACTAACACATTTAAAATAATTATTAGTTTATATTTTTGGGCACACAATGTATAAAGATGTAATTATGTGACACTGATAAAAAGGGATGCAGATGCAGCTGTAAAGGAGCAAAATTTTTGTATGTTGTTGAAGTTAAGCTGCTATAAATTAGAGTGTTTTAACTTTAGGATGTTAAATGTAATTCCCATGGTAACCACAAAGAAAATACAGTAGTCCCCCCTTATCTGTGGTTTCACTTTCGGTAGTTTCAGTTACCCACAGCCGACCACAGTCTGAAAAGATTAAATGGAAAATTCCAGAAATAAACAATTCATAAGTTTTAAATTGCATGCCATTCTGAGTAATATGATGAAATCTCATGCTGTCCTGCCCTATCATGCCTGGGACATGAATCATCTCTTCGTCCAGGTATCCACACCGTATCCACCACCTGCCCGTCAGTCACTTGGTAGCCATCTCAGTTATCTAACTGACTATTGTGTTATCACAGTGCCTGTGTTCAAGTAGTCTTTATTTTACTTAATATGGCCCCAAAATGTAAGAGTAGTGATGCTGGCAATTTGGAGAGGCTGAAGAAAGGCAGTAAAGTGTTTCCTTTAAGTGAAAAGGTGAAGATTCTCAACAAGGAAGAAGAATCATATGCTTATATTGCTAAGATCTATAGTAAGAATGAATCTTCTATCCATGAAATTCTGAAGGAAAAAAAATTATCATAGTATATGTAGTGTTCAGTACTATCCCTGGTTTCTAGCATCTACTGGGGGTCTTGGAACATATCCTGTGTGGATAAAGGAAGGACTACTATAGTTGTAGTATATACACCAAACAAAATGAGAAAGGAATTTAAATGTTTCACTATGGAAAATCAACTAATGCAAAAGAAAATAATAATGCAAAAAAATGATGAACAATATAACTCTAAGGCATCTAGAAAACAAATAAAATCACAAAATTAAGTCCCTTCTCATCAGTAATTACTTTAAATGTTAATTAAGTGCTTCATTCAAAAGATAGAGATTGGCAGAATGGATAAACAGAAAACCTGGCCGGGCTCCGTGGCTCAAGCCTGTAATCCTAGCACTTTGGGAGACCAAGGTGGGTGGATCACCTGAGGTCAGGAGTTCAAGACCAGCCTGGCCATCATGCTGAAACTCCATCTTAAAAAAAAAACAAAAAACAGAAAACTGAAAACCTGATCCAACTAAATGCTGTCTACAAAAGACTCACTTTAGATCTAAAGATACAAATAGATTGAAAGTAAAAGGACAGAAAAAGATATTTCAAGCAAACAGTAACCAAGAGAGCAGGAATGGCTATACTAATATCAGACAAAATAGACTTTAAGTCAAAGAAGGTTGCAAGAGACAAGGACATTATATATTAATAAAATGTTTAATATAGCAAGAAGATAGAACAATTACATACAGTTAGGCACCTAACAGACCATCAAAATACATAACTTATTGTTTTACTTTCATAAGAAAACAAAAAATCTTAATGACCTGGGGTTAAGGTAAAGATTTCTTAGCTCTGACATCAAAAGCATGAGCCACAAAAGGTAAAACTGATAAATTAAGACTTCATTAAAATGAAGAACTTTTGTTCTGTGAAAGAGCCTTTGTTTGGAGAATGAAAAGATAAGGTAAAGACATGAGAAGATATTTGCACATCATATAAGCAACAAAGGAACTTTATTTATCTAGAATATATAAAGAACTCTCAAAACTCAACAGTAAGAAAACGACCAACTGGCTGGGTGCGGTGCCTCACGCCTGCAATCCCAGCACTTTGGGAGGCTGAGGCTGGTGGATCATGAAGTCAGGAGCTGGAGACCATCCTGGCCACTATGGTAAAACCCTGTCTCTTAAAAAAAAAAGAGAGAGAGAGAGAGAGAGAAAAGAAAACAACCAACTAAATGACCCAACTAAAAAATAGGCAAAAAGTTTGAACAGATGCTGCACCAAAAAGTATATGCAGATGGCAAATAAGCATACATAAAGATGTTCAATATCATTAGAAGAATGCAAACTAAAACCTACAATGAGATATCACCACATACCTATTAGAATGACTAAAACAAAAAATAGTAATACTGTTAAGTGCTGGTGAGGATTTGGAGCAACTGGAAACTCTCACACATTGTTGTTGGAAATGCAAAACAGTATAGCCACTCTGGAAAATGATTTGGCAGTTATGTATAAATTTTAGCATACAGTTACCATATGACCCAGCAATCTCACTCCTATTTACCCTAGAGAAATAAGAACTTGTGTTCATACAAAAACCTGTACGTGAGTGTTTATTGAAACTCTATTCATAATGGCCCAAAACTGGAAATAATCCAATGTCCTGCAACAGGAAAATGGATAAACTATTGTAATAAACACACAGGAGAATGGATAAACAATTGTATAAGCACACAGTGAAATACTATTTATCAATAAAAAGGAATAAACTATTGATACATGCAACAACACAGTATATGCTGTGTGAAATCAAACAAACAATATGATTCCATTTACATGGCATTCTGGGAAAGACAAAAGTACAATGACAGAAAACAGATCAGTGGTTGCCAGGGATTAGAGATGGAGGAAAGTCTGAATTAGCAAAATCCCTTTGGAGGGAGTTTTTGAGGGGTGATGGAACTGTTCTGTTTCCTGATTGTGGTGGTTACATGAATCAATTCATAAGTTAAAATTCATAGAACTGTACACCAAATAAAGATCAATTTTACTGTATGTTAAATTGAAAAGTAAAAAAAAGAAAAAGTTACAGGAATGAATGTATACTGACAAAAGGAAATAACTACTTTGAAGGAAATGAACATTCCATGAGAGCCTAAGGGAGAGGAGGGACGCTGTTTTGTGAGGAAGGAAAGCATCGAGAACATTTTCCCAGAGGAAGTGAGGCTTGAGCTGTGTCCTAAAGAACGATTTAGAATTTACTTGGGCTAAAGGAAGGTTGATTCAGACAGAGGGATTTGCATGTGCAAAGGCCCTGGAGCAGGAGTAAGATGGCTCATTTTCATCTAAAAGGGACTAGTGCACGGGGAGTACCCTGGAGGGTGGGAGAAGTGGTGATGGGGAGTGAAAAAAATCTAAGCTGGAGTAAGAGAGTCCGATTCTGCCAGACTGTTCTAGGTGGGGCCCAGGTTAAGGCCTGTGGAGAGGTGTAGCAGTGGGCTAGCCTGATAACTGACAGTTGGAACATCTTGCAGAGACCTAGGCAATTAGACTCCCCAGGGCAATGCTAGTCCTGGGGCTGAATTCTCAGTAGTCCTAGCAGGAGGCAGCCTTCTCCCAAACCCAAAAATTCCAGATGCCCTGCAGTGCCGCTAAAGTGCCCTCTCCTGAGACCTCTGCCTGCTCAGGAGAATACTGACAGCGCAGTAATATCCACTAAGCTCTTCCAGGGGCTTGAGGACCTTGAGAGATAGGGCAGTGTGGCTTTTCCGGACTATCCACAGGGCTCCAGTGATGTAGCTGTTGTCAGAAATACTTGTGTCAATAATCAGGTATTTTTCAGATAGGCAACAGATCTCTATCACCCTACCCTGACCCACCTTATTCTCTCCAGGCTCCAAGCCTAGGCCCCTCTCCCCATTTCCAGGCATCAGAGCCTGCCTTGTCCAGGGCTGGGGGTGGAGGCTAGAGAGTGACACAGATCAAACTTAAAAGTTGTCAGTTGACCATTTAATATCATGTAAGTCTTCACTGAATAATGAATAGCCCCAGAATTTGTTGTGTTGTGTAATAACGGTTGCCAAATGGCTTAGTTTACATACAACAACATAGTATACAGAGGGTTTCAGTGAGGCAATGACTCTAGGCACTTTATGAGCCAAATTTAGGCAGTTATCATAATTCCTATTTCAGAGATGACGAAACTGAGGCCTTCATCAGTGACTCGAAAAGTCACATAACTAGAAAATGGCCAAGATTTGGATCCAGGACTGTTTAACTTCAAAGTCCTGGCTCACTGATTTTCAAACGTTAGTGTATGGGGTCGTGAGATGGAAATTTACCAAAAATGCCGTTTCCCGGCCCCATCTGGGCTGAAGAATCGGCATTCCAAACTTTAAACCAGGGGACTCCAGGGGTGAGACCTGAAGCCTGAGAGGAAGTGCAACACTGCAGGGCTCTCAGGAGGGGGGTCCCCTGCTGACGCCTGTGACTAGGCCTAACTATGGGGGGTTCCGCGGCCCGGTGCTCCACCCTCTCACCTGCCTGGAGGTGCGCTCGAGGTCCAGATAGGCCGATGAATAAGTACATCTGCAGCGCCTCCTCTACTCCGAGGACTTTCACTTTCCCCCTGGCACAAAACCGAACATCCCACCCCACCCCCAAGCTAAAATACCTGGGCCGCCCCTCCCCGGGAAGGGACGCGCTCCGGGCGAACGGGAGGGCCCGGAAGTCGGGCCCAGGACTGAGGAGCCGGCCCACCGCCTCCTGGTCGGAGGCCGCAGTGCAGGTGAGGCGGCGGCCACCCTGGGCACGGCGGGGTAAGGAGCCGAGGGCGGACTGCACCGGGAAGTTGGTGGGGGTCCGCCGCGCCGCCTCGCCTCGGCCTTCCTGCCCCGTCGGGGCTTGCCGCCCGGGACACCAGCGGAGCACGTCTGGGCGGGGGCGGGCCGGCTCACGCCCTCGGACCCTCACCCCATCCCGGCCAGCCGCAGCGGCGACACCGGGTCAGCGAAGGGTTAAGGAACTCGCTCCCTCCCCTCGGTTCCCTCACCCTTGGAAAGTCCCCGAAATGACGTTTCAACCCGACAATTAAAAAAAGAGTTTAATTATAGAGACAGGCTCTGGGAGCTGGAACAAACCCTCGGCCGGCGCGGCCGGTAAACAACTCGGGAGCGAGCGGTCCAGGCCAGCCGCAGCCTTGAGGACCCCGTGTCCCCGGGGAGAGGGGGAGGGGAGGGCGGCCGGGAGTTGGAAAAGCCTAAGAAATTCGAGGAATCAGCTTTCTTTGGAAAAACCCACTTTGTGGCCATTCTGGGACGCCTGAGGGTGCTCCTGTCCGGTCCCGCAGCCTTGTAGGGAAAGCGGCGCTGCCTGGAGCAGGGGGACAGCCGCTGCCCCGCGGGGACCGGCCCTGGGCCGGGAAGGGGGCCCCTTCCGCTCCCACTCCCCTTCCCCTTTGCGTCTTTCCAGCCCCTCCTCTGGTCCTCTCAGCCGAGCTTCGCCAACCCTCGGCAGTTAAAGACCAGCTGGCCCCCTTTTTTGGGGGGGTTTGGGGGAGAGGGAATGGGTGGAGGCCGGGGGAATAAAAAAACCGAAATAGTTTCACATCAGAACTCAGACTAACCTTGTGGTTTCAGCGTGCACCCTGCTCTGTCCCAAAATCTGGAACTCATTACCTCATCACCAAGAAACTGCACGAAATCGTCCCCCCCCCGCCCCCCGCCCCCCGCCCCAACACCCACTTGGGGCTGGGAAAGGAACGAGCAAACATCCCTCTAAGGAAGAAACCTACACTTGAATGATTGAAATTAAGGTGGATAGAAGTTATTTCCCTTTCTGGCGCTTGCCTGAAAAGAAAAGCTGAAAAATGGGAGCAGGGGAAGAGAAGCAACAGGCGGCTGGAGAGCAGCAGTAGAACAGGCGAGGGGCAGCAGCCGGGTTAAAGTGGGGGCCATCAATTTCAGGCAGAGGAGACAAATGAAAGCCGATCCCGCTGGGATCACGTAGGTTCCGGCTGCAGCAAAAGTTGTGTTTCGCAAAGTTGAAAACAACCGGTTTCTCAAACAGTTGTGATTTGGAAGGTTTCGCTGGGTTTGCCCAGAGGTTGACGAATAAATAAAAAATGCAGTTAAAAAAAAAATATATGTGTGTGTGTGTTGGGGGTGGTGAGAGTGTGACTCGAGCGCTCTCTTCGGCCCGCCCCGTCCTTTCCAAAGAAACGTGTTCATAATGGGGTGACCTAATTACATCGCAATGGAACTCAATCTTAGCCACTCGGCAGCACCGGATTTCATAACAGACTCGGCGGCCTAGAGTGCTGCGAAGAAACGTGCGAGGGCCGAGGGGGCGGCGAGGCCCGCGTGGAAATCGGAAAGAAGTGCGGCCCTGCGACTTCCGCCTGGGTCATCACGCCAGCACCCGGGCAAAGGCGCAAGGGGCGGGTAGGGGACACGTTAACTTTATATTTGGGTGGGTGGCATCCAAACATAACAGTAAATATATATTTTATCATTTTCAAGGGAGTCATGCTCCATTGCGGGCCCTTAGCTTTCCTGGCTCCCATGTCCGCCTCCCCACCTCCCGCCAAAACGGCACAGCGTGACAAGCCATATGTTCCACTTTCCCGTGGGGGCGAGAGAAGCAACAATAAAAGTGCCGCCTCCGTCCACCTTTTTACCTTCCTTCTTATCAAAGTAAACTTTTTTCATTGTTCTAGAGTCTGGAGGTGTGTGTGGGGAGGATGGAGGAGGAGGGAGTGTTGTGGCGCCGCCCAGACTTCAGGGCGCGCGTGGAAAGTAGTGAGTTGCTTGGTGGGCTTTTTCTGGGAGGAAAGGGCATTCAGGAAGGATTAGGGTTTTCTTTACCAAAAGTTTAAAGATTGGATGCGTGAAAAGAAACGCCACGCCTAGGCCTGGTAAAACAAACAATCGGCCCGGGCTGTAATCTTTTTTTGCGACGCCCCCCACCCGCCCACACCCGGAGAGCGCCGGCTGCAAAGCGAGCGCGAGTGTGGACGCGTGCGGCGCGCTAAACTGCCGCGCTCGCGCCCGCCAGGCCGTGTCCTCCTGGGGAAAAAGTTTCCCTAGTCCCCCCCCCGCCCCCGGCACCGCGCCCCACCCTACGCCCCGCTGGAAAAAAAAACATAAAACCCTAGACTTGAACGTTCTGTGCGTCCCAAATTTCTACTGTACTCGGCCTGCGGGGTTTGCGGAGGGAAGCCGAGTGCGTAAGAGAAGTCGGGAAAAGGTAAGTTGTGCAGACACTTGGGGAAGTTTCAAGGGGACCACCGGCTCAACATGTAAACCGCGGCCCGGGCGCTAAGGACGGGCTTCAGCTCCTGCTGGCAAAAAGAGAAAGTCGAGCCCGCCTTCCTGCCCAACAAAAAACAACAACACCACAACAAGAACCCCGGAGGGAGTGGAATGAGTGACGTCAGAGCCGCGCTCGGAGGCTGACAAAGGAGGGGGCGCGCCCCTCCCGCTTTGCGCCCGCGCGGTCCCGGAGAGGGGCGCTTGAAGCGCTGGGTAGCCAAGTCAGCCGACTCGAAACTTCTTCTTTAAGAAAAAAAAAAGGTTGTGAGCGGCTCGGAGTGGGGTTTTTTTTTTTCCGCCTTCTTTTCTTGTCTCCCCTCCCCCTTCTTCCTTTTGAAAGTTTCTTCTCCTCCCCTCCCCCGCCCCGCCTGACCGCATGGCTGATTCAACTCCAGTGTCAATCAACTTCTTTTTCCTCCTCTTCCTCATTTAAATAAGTTTAAAGCTCCTCCTTTCCCGGCCCACCAAATCTGAAACTTTATAAATCGGGCTTTGCGCGCCGCAGCCCCGGAGTCAGAAAGGCGAGGGGCGCTGGGAACTGGCGTGTGGGACTCCAGACCCGAAAGGCTGCGCCTTCCCCGCACCGGGACCTTCGAGACACACCAGATCCTCGCCGCTGGCCCGCGCGAGCGCACAGGATGACCACCACCCTAGTGTCTGCCACCATCTTCGACTTGAGCGAAGTTTTATGCAAGGTAAAGTGGGGCGGAGCATTTGCTTTTCAAAAACTTTTTCTTTTGCTTCAAAAAAGAACCCCCAAAAGTTTGGGTCTCGGAAGGCAGTGGGGAAGGTGGTGCAGCGAGATGATTTTTTTCTCCCAAGTTTGAAGGAATTTGGCCCCGTCCTTCTCACCTTTTGAGTTTCAACCGTTTCTGGCGGGGTCTACGGGCGAATCCGGAGGCTAGAGTTTTGAGGGGCGACGTTTGCTTGGCGAGGCAGCCCGGGGGCCTTGGGAGGAGGGCTGGGATTGGGGCAAGTTTGGGGCGATTCTTTTTTACGTAACGTGCTGTTGGTCTGATGGGTTCCCAGTGTGCGCCCTAGATCTGTCCAGCAGCATTGCTGACCCTTGGGATTGGGAGTGGGAGATCCCTCGGGGAAGTGAGTCTCTGGACGACGTTTTCCTCCCCTTTTGGGGGAGCTGGGGATATGCGAGGAAGAAGGAGGCCAAGTTGTGATTCAAAAAGATGTTGCAGAACAAGTTTGCAGTGGTGCTGGAGTCCGCCCTAGCTCCGTTGGGCTTCTTCCTGCGATAGCCGATCGTGCAGCAAACTTTGGGGTGAAAGAGGCATTGGAGTTGACCTGCTTACCTGTGTTGCCGAGTCGTTGCGGCTGGTCAATTTTTGGTGGCGGGTGGCAGAGGGGAGGGCGGCAAAATGCTGGCTTGAACTCTAGAGTCCCGGGAGTAAGGATTTAATGGGGGCCTCCTTAAAACATGTTGCTTGCCAGCCAGTGTTGAAAAAGCAAGTTCTAAAGTCGGAGTGTTCCAGGACTGCGGTTTAAACGTACATAGCAGAAGCCAATGGATGTTGTTAAATTTCTTTCCAACCTCCTCCTCCCAATTTAAAAGGGCGAAGCTGCTGGGCTGCTTTTAATTGCTGAAGTGTTTTTACCTTCTCTTAACACGTCGGGTCATGTTGCTCTGTTTTCCCAGCTTGCTGCTCCTGTTGGTGCAGTTGCCAAGGCCCCAGGGCTGCAGGGTTGGGGTGCAGGGACGCCGAGGAGCTGAAGAGTAACATTTTTAAAGTTTGAATTTTTCAGCTTCCTTTCCTCCCTGCATATTCCCAAACTCCACTTGCCGGCCTGGCTGCCAGAGCTACCCAACACTTCTTCCTTCTTTTCCCGACTCTCCCGCTCTTTGATCTATTTTTTTCTTTGGCCCCCTCCCCCCTCAGGGGAGGTTTTTAAATGAATGAGGGTTTTAAATGAACCTCATTGTTGGGAACCAGCTCTCGACTGGGTTCCTGTAATCCTCTCGGTGGGGTGGTTGCAGTTACAGATTCGCGATCCCCACCCCCCCCCCCACTGAGCCTAAAGGACCAACATTAGAATTTGCAAAATGACACCCACATGGGCTGGGAACTAACTCCTAGGTACCCGACCTGCACCCTTTCCAAATCTTGGGTACAATTTGGGCAGGTGATCAGGATCCCATTGGACCAGAAACCTGCCGTTGGTGGCTCTGCCCCCATCCCCACCACCCCCAATCTGCTATTGACTGGGAGATGGGTAGGGGGGTTGGTGCTTTCCTTTTCTTTCCATCTGCAGCTTTGCTTAAAGATTAAACACTGGCGCTCTTATCCAAGCCTGCTCCTGCAGCCAGAAGACTAATTGCAAAGGCATCTTCACAGTGAAGGGGGACGGGATGGGCTGGGCATGAGTGGGAATTGTGAGAGAGATCATTGTGGAAAATACCTCTTCCGGGAACTTAGGGCAATGAGTTTTATTTTCAGGAATCACTTCCCTGTCTCCCCCAACCTCAGACCAGGCTCCCAAGCTCCTCCCCACAAGAAAAAGCAAAGGCAGTCTGAAAACCTGTTGCCAAAGGAAGGAGGAAGTTGAGTCCTCTTAGGCTGGGTTTTGAGGGAGGGGGTATCAATTAAGCAGGGACTGATTAGAAGGGGACCTAACCTAGCCTATAACAGTCTCCTCTCAGATTTACCTGTTTTGTTAGGGGAGGGTAATCTGGAGAGGTCTGGGTTGTTTGAGATATTTTGAGTTGGAGAAACTATTTGGGCAGTAAGGAAGTTGAACTTTACAGATTAAAGTGGTAGCTTTGGGGACAGAGGATATGGGGGTTGCACTGCAGGAGTCGGCATGGAGCAGGGTGCTTGTCACACAGTCTGGATTTTGTGGTTTCTTATGCATGGGGCCAAAATAAACCCAGGTGAATGGTCTATAGGAGGGAGAGAGGGAAGGGGGCTTGCTAGAGCAAAGGTGGAGATGGGTTATTTGAGACAGGCGGCGTTTGTGATTGTGGAGAGGGCTGTAGATGTCTTCCATCCTTACCATCCTTTCTCTTCTCTCTCCAGGGTAACAAGATGCTCAACTACAGTGCACCCAGTGCAGGGGGCTGCCTGCTGGACAGAAAGGCAGTGGGCACCCCTGCTGGTGGGGGCTTCCCTCGGAGGCACTCCGTCACCCTGCCCAGCTCCAAGTTCCACCAGAACCAGCTCCTCAGCAGCCTCAAGAGTGAGCCAGCCCCCGCTCTGAGCTCTCGGGACAGCCGCTTCCGAGACCGCTCCTTCTCGGAAGGGGGCGAGCGGCTGCTCCCTACCCAGAAGCAGCCCGGGAGCGGCCAGGTCAACTCCAGCCGCTACAAGACGGAGCTGTGCCGCCCCTTCGAGGAAAACGGTGCCTGTAAGTACGGGGACAAGTGTCAGTTCGCACACGGCATCCACGAGCTCCGCAGCCTGACCCGCCACCCCAAGTACAAGACGGAGCTGTGCCGCACCTTCCACACCATCGGCTTTTGCCCCTATGGGCCCCGCTGCCACTTCATCCACAACGCAGAAGAGCGCCGTGCCCTGGCCGGGGCCCGGGACCTCTCCGCTGACCGTCCCCGCCTCCAGCATAGCTTTAGCTTTGCTGGGTTTCCCAGTGCCGCTGCCACCGCCGCTGCCACCGGGCTGCTGGACAGCCCCACGTCCATCACCCCACCCCCCATCCTGAGCGCCGATGACCTCCTGGGCTCACCTACCCTGCCCGATGGCACCAATAACCCTTTTGCCTTCTCCAGCCAGGAGCTGGCAAGCCTCTTTGCCCCTAGCATGGGGCTCCCCGGGGGTGGCTCCCCGACCACCTTCCTCTTCCGGCCCATGTCCGAGTCCCCTCACATGTTTGACTCTCCCCCCAGCCCTCAGGATTCTCTCTCGGACCAGGAGGGCTACCTGAGCAGCTCCAGCAGCAGCCACAGTGGCTCAGACTCCCCGACCTTGGACAACTCAAGACGCCTGCCCATCTTCAGCAGACTTTCCATCTCAGATGACTAAGCCAGGGTAGGGAGGGACCTCCTGCCTACTCCAACCCCTACCCTGCACCCACACCCCATACCCTCTTCTCCCTACCCATCTGATTCCCCACAAGTCCTACATTAACAAAGTTAAGCTCAACCCCTTTCCCCCAGCACCTCAGAATGTCCCCTCCCTCTCCCCATCATTACCCCACCTAACATAAGGACAAGTCAATTTGTCAGTAGCTTCTTCTGGCTTGAAACCCCCTCCCTGGATTTTATAGCCCACTTATCACGCATAACAGACAAGTCCCATATTTTGTCAGTAGATGCCTCTTTTTTTTTTTTTCTGGCTTAAGCCTTAAGTGCCAAATCACAAAAGAAAAAGCAGTAACAGTTTACAGAAGCAACTTAGTGCCTTGTAATCTAACTTTGTCACTGTGACTACATTACCTCTTCAGCGCCAGAGGGCACCCGTGGGCCTCCCGGAGCCTCTGCCCATGGGGGAGGTGGAGACCCGGAACCAGCAGCCCCCTCCACTGGCGACACAACTGCACCTTCCCTGATTTCACTTACTCTTCCCCTCTTCCCGGTGTCACCTCTCCACCTGACCCCCCCAGCCCCTTGGGAGAGTTGTTGCCAGACTAGGGTTTTTGGGGAAACCTATCTTGACATTCAAAACCTTTTTCTTCCCGATCTGAACCCCTGTTGACTAATCTTGCCTGGGTTTGTGTAGGTCTGCAGGAAGAAAGGCTGAAAAAGCGGATGAAGATTTTGACTTAAGTGGGACTTTGTGATTAATTTTTTTCTTTTTTTAAGTGGGGAGGAAGGGGAAGCTAGATGGACTATGAGAGACTTGATTTTGGTGCTAAAGTTCCCCAGTTCATATGTGACATCTTTTAAAAAAGTAACAACAAAAAAATGAGAGAAAAGCTAAAAAAAAAAAAATGTAAGGGGTGAGCAGTTAATGGTATTCATTCCACATACAGTATCTGTGTAAAACGATTTCCTGTAGAAGTAGCTTTAATGGTTTTGCTCTAGAATACCGTAGGTCTATCCTTAGAGCACTCACGCCATGCTTTCTTCCCTGGGTTTTAAACTTCATATAACTTTCAGAAATTGGAGAGCAAAAATTTTGCTTGTCACTGCACATCAATATAAAAAAGCTTATTTAACTTATCAAAACGTATTTATTGCCAAACTATGCTTTTTTTTGTTAATTTTGTTCATATTTATCGGGATGACAAATCCATAGAATATATTCTTTTATGTTAAATTATGATCTTCATATTAATCTTAAAATTTTGTGACGTGTCTTTTTCCTTTTTTTCCACAGTTTTAATATATTATTCTTCAACGACATTTTTTTGTAACTTTACACTTTTTTGGTTATTTTATTTTAAAAAAATGAAAAATTAATTTAAAAAAATGCAAAAAACTGTTGGATTATTTATTTTAGAAATTCCCCCCTTTGTGTTGGACTGCAAATTGAGTTTCTTTCTCTTTAGGCCTTTCATGACTAGGACTGAGAATGTATGTAAAAGTTCTGTGACAGTACAGAAGGAAAACAACTTTTTATGTATAGCTTCTAAAAGGGAAAAAAAAAAAAGAGAAACCCTTTGACTTCCACGTGCCCATCTCAAGACATTCCACTCACAGATTTGAGGTTCTGGATTCCAGGTCTGGAGTTTTCCAATGTTAATGTAAACAGAACTGGCACACACACATTAAGATGAATGTAATTATTATTCCTCTTGCTGGTCACTACCGTTGCTTTCTATTTCTCTTTCTTTGTGTGAATTTATTTAAAAGAAAAAAAAACTTTTTGTAACGACTATTTGCAGTTTAAAAATCAATAAACCCCGTTTTTCAAGAAACATTGATGGTGGAGCTGGTTTTACTTGGTTTTGGTTTGACTTTGCCAGTAGGGTTCTCCCCTTGCAGGTCCTGGGGAGGGGTGGGGGAGGGGGAGAGAAGGCTGTGTTGCATCTTATCCCTACAGCTAAGTCTTAGCTCCCTTCCTTGATGCTGGCAGTTTACTGAGCTGGGGTTGGGGGTCGGGTGGGAGGGATGGGGGGGTTGTGTGTGTGGAGGTTTTCTGCAAAGGAGCCTGTACTTCCTGCTGTATTACTTCGGAAAAGACTGCCCAGTGTTGTTGGCTGAATAACAACAGGCCCAGCCCAGTCCTGCCAACACCTGTGTGGCCTCAGCGGTTCTGGGGAGCCAAGGCTCAGGGTTTTTGGGGAAACCTGCCTTGACATTCAAAACCTTTTGAATGTCTGCCCCACCCAGCCTGTACTCTTCATTCTTTTGGCTGGTGTTTCGGTTGCCCAAATGATTAAGGAGGACCTAGCACCACATGGCACACACGCAAGCTTGGATTTGAGTGAGTTCTTTTTTGGGGTGCCTTGGGCTCATTTTTCTACAGGAAATTTACCTCAGTCCTAGCCTCTCAGCACCTACCACCTGTGGTGGGTGTAAGGAAGCACTGCCTGCTTGGAGAGAACAGCCAGCGGGGTGAGGGCCTCAGTCACAAGAACTGAGGACGGACTGGATTTGCCATGCTTCTGTGTTTGGAGGGCGGGTAAGGGGAAGTGAGTGTTAATGCCGGCCAACAAACACAGCAAGTCCCCAAGGGTTCCCACCACCTGAATTACAGTCTCAGATGCTGTGCAAAGTCTCAGATGCTGTGTTGTGGTCTTGGGAAGGGTGGGGTCTCCTTGGCTAGAAGCACCCCCACCAAGGCCAGATAACCACTTAGAGGTAGCATTTCACCTGCCAGAGAAGTTGGAACTTTCTAAAAATCTTGAGTCTGAGCCTAGGGAGGACCTCTTTGGGGAGAGGCAGAGATTGCCATTTGAGGCTCACGCCTTTGGTTCCTTACACCCAGTAAGTTTTGGGGTTTCAGCTGAATTCCCACTGTGATTCCACCAGGCTTCTTCTGAAGGTCTGCAGCAGAACACTGGGCAGGTCAGGGATGTCCCTGAGACTCGAAGACCTACCTCTACTCACAACTCATTTCCTGGTTCAGCAGATAGCTACTGGGGGTCAGTGGGGTGAAGTAGAAAGTAGAGACAATTACCTGTTCCAGGGCAGGAGTTGGTGGTATAGGGAGGAGAAAAGCAGCTCTTCTTGGGACTGGAGTAAACCAAGACCTCTTGTCCCTTAAGGAGGAAATGACTTTGTGTGTGGGTGGAGGTGGTGGTGGTGGTTGGTGGTGGTGGCACGTGATCTTCCTCTTGGAGTAAAAGCAAAAAATCATTTGCCTTGAGCTCATTCCCTGCAGGCATACCTGAGCATGTGGCAGACACCCGTCTAACTTCCCCTCTCACAGTGATCCTGGTTAGGTTCCTAGAGGCCCGGGCATACCTCCTGTCCACCCCTCAATTTCCTCTATGGGAATCAGTCCTTTGACTTAGATAACCAAGATAGAGACATTGACTACTGGAGGCCTTGGAGGGTGGGGGTTGACTGTGAAGCTCAGGGGAAACTCCTTATCTTGTGGGGAAGCTCCATGTCCTGGGCCTTAACCCTTTACCCCACCTAAGTGTCTCCCTGGGGAACTCACTCAGGCTGGAATTTAGGTCACCCAGGCCCATGTGTGGTAGCCACAAGAGTCTGATTGTGTACCATCGAGTCCTTAGAGGAGATGGCCCTTGGGAAAGGAAACAGCAGACTCTTTCAGGTCCATTATTTCTCCAGGATGTTAGAAGAAGGGGTCTCAGCAGCAGCCCTGTAGTCTAGTCTGGCAAGGAGGCCAAGGAGGTGTGAACCCAGAGCTGGCAAGAAACCCCCATCTCTGAGCTCCTCTGCATCTGGGAAGGATAGAAACCATGCCGAGGGAGCTGAAGGGAGGGTCTTCACGAGGGAAGCGGGTCAGTCAGGAAAGGCCAGGCCAATCCTGAGCACAAGGCCTTCTTCTCCACCCCTTACTCTGGAGGATAGGGCATCTTGAAGGCTGGGTTTAGGGGCCTGCACCAGGTCTGCCATGGATGGGCAGGGTCTCTGTGGCTGCTGGTCCTGCAACACTCTCTGGCTGTTGGATGAAGGTCTTCCCTTGGAGCAGCTCAAAGAAATGAGCTATGGTGGCCACTGAGCAATGCCTTTCCTGGCCTGGAGGCCTCATTGTCAGGAGGAAGGCTAGAGGCCTGCTATAGTACAGTGACACTCATGAAAGGAGGGCACTGAGGGCCAGCTGAGATTGTGGGTCAGTTCAAAGATGGGTTTTACAGTCAAATGGATCACAAAACTCTGGTTACTGAAGAGGCTGAGTGGGTCATGGCAGGGGAAGGATCCAGGGCATGAAGGAAGAAGTGTTGAATGGAGCCTTTGGGCCAGGGTTCAAATCCCAGCTCCCCATCTCTAGCTTGTGCTTTGGGTAAATGACTCAACCTTGGATTTTTCACCTGTATCTCAAGGGGTTACTGTGAGATCAAGTGAGCCATTAGTCATGACAGCTTTTCGTAAGTGCCAGGTAGTGCTCGAAGAACTTCCTGTGTATTAACTCATTGAATGAACATAATGACCCCATGGAGGAAGCTCTATACTATTCCCTTTATACAGATGGAGAAATTGGGGTGCAGAGAAGTTTGCTAATTTGTCACACAGGGAGACAATGTCAGGATCTGAACTCAGGCAGGCGAGCTCCATCACCCTCCATCACTGCGTTTCACCACCATGCTAGAGAGTTGTAGGCTGGGACGCTGGCACAGCTCCTGGCACACAGTAACTACAAATCGATCAGTGTTAGTTGCCCTCTCCCTTGGCCTTTTGTGGAGATTCTGCATGAACACAGGAGCAACCAGTTGGATTAGATGCCTCTACACACACCCCCTATGTTGAGTGCCATGACCTCACCTCTCATGAGGCCCTGCATTGGCACATTTGGAGATGGAGTCTGGGAGGAGGAGGTAGGCCATCCCCTTGGACTTTCCCCTTCTCTGCCTGCCATGAGGTGGCTTCTGTTAATGATCAACAGACCAAAGGATGCCCTGGGGCTGCCTCGGGGAGTTGGCCCCATGCCCTTCTTCCCCCGGGGTCTTCTATCCCTGTGTGTAGCCAACCATTAAATCATGTCTGGCTGGACTGACTGGAGGCTACCTGAGTTCAGAGGGGGAGGAGGTGGGGAGGTTAGCCAGGCCCCTGGTCACCCCCTTGCTTCCTTGCAGGTGGCCTTTCTAAGGCCTGCCGCTGGCCTGCTGGGCCGCAGGCAGATATACTGAAGGTTGGAAAGCAAGGCAAAACCTGAGCCTTTTCTTGAGGTTAGGTCAGCACTGAGGGTCTCACCTCATGATAGGTAAGGCTGGTGTTGAGAAACGTGGCCTACAGTGCTTTCTGTGGGAGTCACAGATGGGACTCCCACACAGCTGAGTTACTGTCAGAGGAAACTAGACTCTGAGGAGCCTGGGCAGGGCTGCCCATGAGGGCCAGCTGCTGGTCAGTGGACAAGGATGCCTCCTCCACATTGAGGCTATTTGCAGTTGTTTTGAAACGCTGGCAAAGCCCTGGTGTCAAAGTACAGGGCTGTGAGCGATGACTTCACCTGAGCTATCAGCTTGGGTTGCAATGAAAATAAATATGGGCAGTGGCCAAAACTAAGGCAATTTTCTCAGCACCTTGAGCCAGACAGGTAGCTGCCCCCAACTCCAAATGTACCTCAGGGAGAAGGAGCTCATCATCACACAGGTCAGCTTTCCTTTCTGCCAATTCCAGTATTCCAGGGCTGTGCGAGGCTCTATTGTCCAGGTTAAGGAGCTGGTTTTGGAGTTACAGGGACCTGGGTTCAAGTCCCTGTTTGGCTTCAAGGTCACTCTGTGACTTTAAGCTAAACACTTAGTAAGAAGTTCAGATCCCGATTTCATCATTTGCAAAATAGGATGTGGTGATGATGAAGATGATGGCAACCAGCTCAATGGGTAAACAAACTGTGGCGTCGTCACACCGTGGAATACTATGCAGCTACATAAAAGGACAAATAACTGATACACAACAATGTGGATGATTGCAAAAAGAAAGTTGAGCGAAAGAAACCAGCCACCAAAGAGCACATATCGTATAAGCCCATGTGTATGAAGTTCATAAACAGGCAGAACTGATCTATGATGATTGAGATTTGATTAGAAGATAGAGTATACACATGAAGGTTCACTGAGCTGTGCACTGAAGATGTGAGCACTTCACTGTAAGTTATACTTCAAACACACGAACCTATGCAGTTGTCATGAGTGTTAAATAATACATGTAAGGAGAAGAAAAACTCAGTACCTGGCCCATTATAGGCACTTAATACATTGTGGCTGGTTTTTGTAATAACAGCTACTGGAGAATGCAGGTACTATTCTAGTCCCCTTTTATAGAAGGAGGAAATGGTCTCAGAGCAGGTGAGTCACTTGCCCAGGGGACGTGGGATTTGAATCCCACCCTAATGGCTCTCAAGTGTGCACTGCTCCCTACTACCTTGTACTGATCCTCAGTGAACAGGTGCTGTTTCTGCAGGAAAGCTAAATTCACAGTAATCCAGGCACAAGCAAGTTGACTAATTAGTAAATGTAATCATCTACATTAGAGAAGTTTTTCTTTTGGCCGGGCTTGGTGGTCCCAGTACTTTGGGAGGCCGAGGCAGGCAGATCACCTGAGGTCAGGAGTTTGAGGCCAGCATGACCAACATGGAGAAACCCCATCTCTACTAAAAATACAACATTAGCTGGGTGTGGTGGCGTGTGCCTGTGGTCCCAGCTATTCGGGAGGCTGAAGCAGGAGAATCACTTGCATCTGGGAGGCGGAGGTTGCAGTGAGCCGAGACTGGGCCATTGCACTCCAGCCTGGGCAACTAGAGTGAAACTCTCTCAAAAAAAAAAAAAGAAAGAAAAAGAAAGAA